CCCTGGTGCTGACAGTTCCTTGGCCACAGAAAAGGGTAAGCATGGGTTTTTGGGCTTAGAACAACAGTGGAAAAAGCACCACTTCCCCCAGACTTGACACTGATATGTATTTACATGGTGTGTTTCATGCCCAAGATGAAGCCCAGCTCTGCTGAGCCACAGTGCATCACCGCTGCCATCTCCTTCGGGGAACGCGTCTTCCATAATGGAAATCAATTGTGTTGAAAATAGTTAGGGAGCTGAGCAGTGTAACAGCACGCACAGACAAACTCGCCATCGCAGGCAGTGCCACGCTCCCAGCCAATTACTCATGCCACTCGCAGCGCTCATCGCGCGCTCGCAGCTCTCCTGACATGCTGCACCACGCCAGGCGAGGCCGTGCAGTGGCTGGGTGCTCACAGGGATCATCCAGCACACACCCCAGGGCTCCAAGGGGCTACAGCAGCAAGGCTGAGGTGGTGGCAAGGCTCAGGCAGAGATGTACAGGGCTTTCATTTCACTGAATCACCCCTCAGGCAAATCCCACTTGGTTGTTTGAAATTAGGCTTAGTTGATGATCAGGTTTCTGATGTCTCAAGCCCCTGATTTCTCACACCCAGCAGGTACCTCATCTTTCATTGTATTAAGGGGCTAATGAGAAAGACAGAGACATTTTAACAAGGCCCCTAGTGAATGGAGGAAGAGCAGCAATTTAAAGCTAAAGGTCAATAGGTCTAGATTAGATATTAGGAAGAAATTCTTTACTATGAGGGTGGTGAGGGTGGGAACAGGTTGCCTAGAGAAGTTGCAGATGCCCCATCCCTGGCACTGTTCAGTGCCAGGCTGGACAGAGCTCTGAGAAACCCAGTCTTGTGGAAGGGGTGTTGGATTTGCTAATCTCTGAAGGTCCTTTTGCAACCCAAGCCATCCTATGATGCTACCCCACAGAGGTATCCAACCAGTACAAGTTATCCAGGTGCAAGCTCTCAGGTGGCATCTAATCCTTACCTGGGCTGGAGGGTCCACACAACAAATGGAAGACCTGCCCATACACAGGGTGCCCATTTGACTCAAATATCACCAGTAGAGACACTTTCATAAGATGTTAGCACTGTCTCTTCTCACAGGTGCTCGCTTCCTTGATCCTAATGCACTCTGCATTATGCCAAACTGAAAACCAAGGATGTCTCAGACCTCAGACATGGTTCCCTGTGAGCTGGCAGCAGGAAAATGGGCTGGCAGGCACTGTGGTCAAGTGTGTTGATGGGGTCTGGGGGGAGGTGCATACAGCATGTGCAGCAGTGGGGTGGGACAGCAGCAGGCTCCCTGGATGGCAGTGAGATGTACCTTACCCAGGTACTTCCCTGACAGCAACTAACCTACTTTGAAGTACGAGGCATTTTTCAAATAATTTTTTTTTTGAAACTCATGTAAGGTATCAGGAAAGCAGATCACCCAGGCTGCAGTCAAGAATCATTTTCAGGGATCATTTTCATAGATTCAGTGACAAAAGAAAAGACTGCTGCAGGAAGCTACCACCCAGAGGTTTCCAAGCCTTAGGCAAAGGTAAGTGAAGAGCACTAAAATCAGGGTGCAGCAAGGAGGTTACCTTGTTATTCATAGGAAAGATCCTGAGAAGGTAAGAAATAGAAGCTCCAGGCTCTACCATGGCTGGGAAAGAGAGCTTGGGAGGGAGGCCTTTGCAGATCAAGGGGATGAAACAAGCCCAGTCTCACTGTAGATGTACAGAACACTGATGGACCTAAACTCTCCATTAGTAACAAAAAATAGGGATGACAAGAAGCATGAGGCTGTGGTATATAATTGCCCTAAATATATCTGAGCACTGCTTCTTCCAGAGACAGCTGCTGTCTTGCTGCCTGCAGAGGGACAAGCTACCAGTTTTGCTTTCCACACCTCTGAGTGATGGACAGAACTTGCAAATGTGCCAGCAAAGACAGAGGATGCAAAAGGCACTAGCTTTCTCCCTCAGAGGAAGTCAGGGAGCACAGAGAGCTCACTGCTCCAGGTGCTGATAAACACAACAGTACAAGAGAGAAAAAGTTAATGTACCACAGCAATGACAGTGCAGGGAGGGGGAGCTGGTCTGTTCCAAACCTCTGATACTCCCACGATGAGGAAAGGAGGAGGGCTGGAACAGTTCCTGTTGCTGGGGAACATCGCTAAGGTCTCTCTGTCCTTGTCAGCCACTGCTGGGACATATAAAACGTGCTCCACTAGCAAGGTAAAAATTGTTTTCTACAAAGACAGCATTGACTTCCTGGCAACAACCTCCTGCCTGCCTTTTCTGGCACCTGCATCAGACAGCACAAGTAGGCTCGCAGGAGAGCTTCACAAGTGCCCAGGTCCCAAGCATTTGTTTCCACAGCTGAAGTAAAAAAGAGACACTGAATGCTGTGCAAGGTCACGGTACACTGCTCTGAGCCATCGTGTAATGCCTGCCACAGCAGAACGGATGTGGGGTCCAAACAAGCAGGAGAGGCTACTCAGAGCCTCAGCTGACATTTCTACTGCAGTTGCAGTGTGGATACTTATTTGGGTTGCAGGATTTAGACATGCATTCCTAAGAACCACATGTGGAACCAGCAGCTATTTCATTCCCAGCATCACAAAGGGGTAAGAACACTGTGCCCTTTAAACCAAGGTGTAATTTGTAATTTTACCTGAGTGTGACGATGCACTATAATATATACAACACACTGAGTAAAAGAAAGGTGCCCATTATGACTTTTTTTAGTAATTTCTAAGACTGATGTCTGCTAAATCAAAATTACAATCAAAATTAATTTGCACTTTTGAGGAATTCACCTCTGGTTCACTTTGACATAGGGTAATTACTAGAAAGAGGATGAAAAATGATATTAGGTCTGCCTCCTCCATTTCCTTCAGCTTCTGGAGAGTCAAAAGTGGTCTTTCTCTTTCCTCATCTGTGTTTTCCCCAATATCTTTGTCTTCCTTTTTCTTGCTATTTGTTCCCCTCTTCTTCTTACCCTCCTGGTCATGGGATCACTGACGTGAAAGAAAAGAATTAGGCGGGTGGGTGTCTTCCTTTCTTTGTGATATCTTAATAGACATTATGAAACAGTGCAAAAGAAAAAAAAAATCAGACAAATTCATTCATCCCTCGCTCCCTCCTGTGCAGAGGGAAGAACACGGGGCCGCGCAGGTTCCGGGGCGGCCCAGCAGCGCACTCACCGGTCGCTTTAGCGGGAACAGATGGATGCTGCGGTGAGAATGGGAATTGAAGCGGCATCTTTGGGAGCACAAGCCCAAGGCAAGGCGGGAGCAGAGGAGCGGCCGGAAAGGCAGGTGCGACTCCCAGGGCGCCCGCTGCCCGCACAGGCCCAGCGCCCGCCGGCCCCGCGCCCTCACACCGGGCCCGCCGGCCTCCGGCGCCCCCTGCCGGCCGCAGCCGCCCCGCCGTGACCCGGCCGCACCGGTTCCACGGCACAGCCCCCCGGGACACGGCACGGCCCCCGGGACACGGCACGGCCCCCGGGACACGGCACGGCCCCCGGGACACGGCACGGCCCCCGCAGGAGCAGCTCCAAGGCGGCAGAGCAGCGCTCGGGTGCCGCGGATTCTCACCGGCAGCTCGGCGAGCCACGCCAGCAGCAGCGCTCTACCAAGTCACGGTGCTCTGCCCCAAGAGCTCAGAGAGAAACATAAATCACTTTCTGATGAACGGAGGAAAATCCACATAAACTGATTTAACCAAGGAGACCTATAAAGTGCCACTACCCAAGTACCATCTTTCTACATGGGAATGATGGGTCATAGAAAGTCCGAGTAAAAATAGGATAGAGGACCATCTCTGGCAATACAAGGAAGCCATGCAATAGGCATTCCAGTCACCCAGACCAAGTGTGTGTTGTAGAAGCAAACACACTGCTCCCAGGTCCTTGATAGGCTCACATGGATACATTGTCTTGGACTAAGGGAACTGGATTTCTCTCAGGCCAAACTACCCTAAGAAATAGCCTCCAACCACTAAACAGGGCTCCAGTTCCCCAATTTTTACCAGTTGCAGGCCGTCTGCTGACACCAACAGCAAGAAACGGTGGACTACAGCAACAATCTTACCCCTTGCCAGCCCTACAGCAGTCTGGAAGTGCTGCTCCTCCTTTTTTTGATATTGTCAGCTGAAAGGTCAGCTGCCTCAGAAACACAGCAGTTACGAAACTTCTAATCTTTTCACTGAGACTCACTTGCTCACATTAAAAAATACAAAGTCTTTTTCCTTAGGAACACTTGCTCTATGTTCTTCTCTCTCATTCAGCTACGGGTTAAGTGTCACAGGCAAGCAGAAGTTGCAGATGCTTTGTTTAGGTTTTATACAAAGGAAACATCCAATCTTTAAAGACACAGAGTTCTCCAAATCACCATTGTTTATGTTATAAGTGATCTTTTAAACTGTAAGGTGCAAGATACTGTTGTCTCTGTACAAGTGTGAAATATTTGAGGGAATGGACAGACAGCAGCTGGCTATTTTTGAACTAGCATCACTGTATCAAAGTGTTGAATGTAAACACAGTCATCAGGAGGACTCCACCCAATGCCACACTTGGCTATCAGATCCAGGATGGCAGAAAATTAGAAATTACTGATTAAACCACTTTAGGTAAGGTGTTTCCCAGAAAAGTATGATGAGTGAAAAATTACTGAGGACAAAGACAGTACAAAGAGTGTTCTGGGCTTTGAAAAACATTCAAGAGAAGGGAAATCACTGATAGAGAAAATGCTTCAACAAAGACAAGACATTTTAACTGTAGAAGAGAGGGCATGTGGCACTTAGTTATGCAAAAGCATGAAAACAGGGATGATGCCGGCAGTAAAACAGCAATAGGTAAGGTTATTCTTTGCATAGCTACAAAAGACAGTTTTTAAACAAGAGAATCCTTCATTAGAAGATTATTTGAGTAAACTTAAAACAGTCCTTATAGGGAATTTGTGAAAATGACATCTTAAGAGAATGTAATGGTGCAATAAATGACAACAAGTGAAAAAAGGTTCTTTTATTTCTCAGTGTTTCTCCACTGTCAATACTGTCCTTTTGCTGCAACATGTTGCAAAAAACTCTCTGCCTTTTCCATTTTAAACAGCTACAATATTTACAGGCTGTTTCCAATAACACACGCAGACACATACACACTCACAGACACGCAGGTACATATATCCCTATCCCTGGCAAGGTAACCTTTTGCTGGTAGAGGCAATACATATTTTCATTGTCCATTAAAAACCAAAGCCATCCTCTTATTTATGCTCTACTCCCCTCTCCATTTCCTAACCAGCAGCTATTGTCAGGCTTTCAAGGGCATCTGTGTAAGAAGTTACATATCCAGCTATTTGATTGCCATCTTTCAAAGTTGTGGCCTAAGTGTACTGGGCTTATCTATTCAAACTGTACATACCAGAAGTCATAAAAATTGCTCATATTCAAATGTTCATGACCAAGTGATAGAGGTACACTCCCAAAATCTTTTGGGGCAGCCATCTTAATCACCTTTTTAGAAATATGCATATCATGCTGGGGTGAAACAAGTCACATGCTTTACCTTCCACCAAGGTGTTATGTACCCACTTTTTTACTAAGGCACCAGGAATTACCAGTATAATTTCTGAAAGAGTCCAGCGCCACTGAATGTACTGCATTAGAATATCAAATAGCAAGCCAGACAAGAAAAGAATACATGCCTATATAATAGGTATAAAATTCCTTAATAAAATTAAGTACATAAAACCTGTGGTGGTACAACCCCAAATCCAATATAAGTTGAATAATATTGTTAATGGTAAGAAATGCAATTTATCCAGCTCCATTTTGTGAATTGAGAGTTCTGTAATTGAGAAAGGTCTTTAAAGCAGTGTCTTTCTTATTTACACTCCTAGGTTGCATGGTGATGTGTGCATTATCAGAGAAGGCTGAATCAATCATAAGGCATCTCTCCCCTCCTTGCCCAAATCCAAACAAAGCTTTATAGCCTCTTGCCAAAGGCATAGACCTGTGCCATGTCTTCATCTCACCAGTCATCCAGGCTTCTCAAAGAGTTCTTCAGTTCCCAAAGGAACCATGGGATGAGGAATGACTAGTGATGACTTGACTGGAAAACTGACATTCCCACTCAGAAACATGTCAGATGTCCCATGCAAAGTGGCTGTAGGACCACTCAGCCTACATGGAATTACCTCAAGAAATAATCATCATCATCATCTTCCCCAAACTCTGAAACCATTTCACACATGCTGGATCATGAGAGATATCCCCAGAATCCAGCACTAGTATCATCCACTGCAAGTAGCACAAAAGTCTAGGTGTCATCAGTGGTGCCACATACACAGTTCTAGGTTTTTGGTTTTTTTAATCAGAACATTTTAAAAGATTTCACAGAGAAGTGAAATGAGAAAAGGTTTTAAAACATCATGTAGTAGCCATTTTTACTAATGACATTATCTGCTTAATGGGGTTTTCAAGCCCTTTTCTGCAACTGAATGTTTCAGGGAGAAGTCCTCACATATGTACACATAGATACAATGTCCAAAGAAATCTGAGGAAGAAAATAGATTGGAGCCTACCTGGAAGCTACAACAGTAGGGCTTAAATGGAATGTTCTTATGGCAAGAGAATATCACAATGCAAGGGGACAGAGTAAAAGCAAACATCTGTACGGGTTTTCATAAAAGTCTAGAAAGATCTAAAAAATTCTGCTCTATGGTAAGGATCAATTTGGACTGACAGGACTAATTTGAAAACACCCATCTTTTCCATCCTTAAAACAGCAGAAAAATATTACACATCAAGACAAAGGCCAAGAAAATAAAACAAAAGATGAAATAACTTTTATCTAGAACAGAGGCTTCCACAGATAGGTCTATCCTGTAGGGAGGTGTGCCTACATGGCCAAGAAGGCCAATGGTATCCTGGCCTGTGTGGCCAGCAGGACCAGGGTTGAGATCATCCCCCTGTACTCAGGAAGATTAGGTCCCACCCTGAGTGCTGTGTCCTGTTCTGGGCTCCCCAATTTAGGAAGGACATTGAGATGCTGAAATGCATCCAGACAAGAGCAACAAAGCTGGTGAAGGGTCTGGAACACAAATCCTAGGAGGCTGAGGGAGCTGGGGTTGTGCAGCCTGGAGAAGAGCAGGTGCAGGGGAAACCCTACCACTCTCAACTCCCTGAAAGGAGGGTGTAGCCAGGTGGGGATTGATCTCTTCTCCCAGGTAACCAGTGCCAGGACAAGAAGACCCAGTCTTAAGCTGTGCCAGGGGAAGTTTAGGCTGGGCATTAGAAAGAAATTCTTCACAGAAAGAGTGATTGGGCATTGCAATGGGCTGCCCAGGGAGGTGGTGGAGTCACCATCCCTGGAGGTATTTAAAAGACTGGATGTGGCACTTCGTACGTACCATGGTCTAATAGTTGACAAAGTGGTGTTCAGTTATAGGTTGGACTCTATGACCTCAAAGGTCATTTTCAACCTAGTTAATTCTGTGTGATTCTGCGTTAGAAAAAAAAACATTTTTGTGTCACTTGCACAGTGACACAAAAGAAGAAAAACATTTGTGTCACTTGCACAGTAGAAACCAAAGATAAACTCTGTACAAACGAACATACAATTGTATGAATCTTAATGAGTTCAGGAAAATCTTTAGAGTTAATTTTCCAAAGCCTTATGGAAGAGTGAAATTTCAACTAGGTGGCTTCTGTTGAGCAGATCTGGAATAGAGCACTATGTGAATGGCTTCACAAAAGATGTTAGCCGAGTACCTGAAAGGAAATGTTAACCTGTTAGCTGTGCACATTAAAATCCATCTTCTGAAGTCAACATACCAAAAGTCTTATGTTTTATAAAAAATAGAAATATTCATTAATTCTCTTTGCCTTTAAAAAAAGTCTCTTTCTTTCCCTATCTGCTGTTTGCCCATCTAATTCCAGGCAGATACACATATGCACTAAAATTTCCACATTAACAAGCCGTTAATTCCTATCACATCTTTTACCAGCAATGGACATTGTCCGTACCTTACCCCAAAGAGAGTGAGAGATTGTTCAGTCAGGGTTAACATAATGAAAGTTTTTTCCGTCAGCTTCAAAAAAAAAAAAAACAAAGCAAAAAAATCTAACCTATATATTTTGGTTTTCAGTCATTTGTTTACCTCAAGGCTTCAGTCCAAGGAAAAAAAAAACCAACCCTGTGCAACTAAGGTCAAACAGGGCTTATTTTCAAACGAACTTCTCCCTTTTAAATGAAGCAATGTTCCTAGTGATACAGAAAACCTGTATTAATTATTTAAAGGTATCAATTAATTAAAAGTATTTACCTGAAGGGAAGGATTTAGAATAAAATCTTCACTAAAAGGCCTTCAATTCAAAACATACACGTTTTCTTTGATCCTGATAGCAGCATTACCAGACCGCTACAGAAGTTTCATCTTCTGTAGTACATTTTCATATATGCAGGAGATTAATTCAACTACTCTATAATGTGATACATATGAGAAGTAATTTTGCTGTTCCACATAGTTTCAAGGGTGGCAGATCTGTGCATTTATACCATGATTAAATGGGACCATGTATGAATAAAGAGAAAAGTAATAAGCAACTTTAAGATACACAGCATTTCGAGGACAAGTTTGCATGGTCTACAATGCAAGCAAGGTCCCAGTATCATTCACTGGGAACAGTAGCTAGAATTGAGTAGCTACCAGGCACACAGACTTACCCTTTCATGGCCAGATGGCATACAGTGACTTGAGCAGGAATACCAGTGTTTCTTAGGTAGCCGTTTCTTCCTTTTTTCTTATGCCATGTGATTTCACTCTTGCATTAGGTACATAATGGACAATGTTTCTCTGATGTCAGAGAATTAATTATAATAACCTCTGTGTTATATCAGAAATCTCTTCTAATTACAACACATATAAAGAAGTGGAGGTGACTGGGAAGAAGATGGCTGCTCCCAAAAGCTAGAACTGTATGCAAATTCCCCACAGAGTCCTATATAATTACAGGTCAGAAACAGGAAACAATCACAACAGGTACATTTCTTTCTTACGGATTAAGAAAAGTGAGTCATAGGAACTGCAAGTCAAGAACAAACCAGTTTCCCTCTCACACTCCCATGATAGTTCTGAGTTACTTGTTTCCCTGAATACACACTTTTAAAAAAATACAATAAAACCTAAGATATGTAACACAAGAATAATTCAACTTCACAGTTATAAATACTCAAATTACACTTACATAGAATATATAATCACAGAAAATAAAATTCAAGTCATAGAAAAGAATGAAGACTAAAGGGAAAGAAAAGGCAAGGTGGTAAAAGTGATACAAGTTTAGGGCTGTGCCTTCTATAAAAGATCATTGAAAGCAGAAGTCAAGTTTTATTGGGTTCTTTTTTCATTTTGTTTGGGAAGTTGTTGCTGTTTTTTTTTTTTTTTTTTTTTTTTTTTTTAAATTGGATAGAATCAAAAAAAACCTTCAAGCATCTGTGAAGTAATCATGGACCTGCACCTTCCACTACAAAACTAAAACCACTGTGTTTGCCAGAAAAGAGCCAATGAAACAACACAGCCAGCGCTGGGTGTAAAGAAGCAAAGTAGCCATGGCTAGTGAAGGGAAGACAGATGGAAAGTCATATTGGGGCCCTCTTTAAAGCTAGATGTGTTGTACAGGCTTGAGGTACCACTGCCACCACAATAAAGTCTGATGTAGCACAGGGATACTCAGGTGCTTTTCTACGCATTTGTTATTTTACCATTTATTGTGAAGAGGATGCAGCAAATGCACTTGTACGAAATACAGAACATAGAACCAAACCCATGGCACAGCCCTTACCATCAACATGTATATGGAGAGGGAGGGGATTAATCCCAAAGGCAATTTAAATAATGGTATTTTATATACTTATATTTATATATATAAATAAATGTTCTCAGCAATCTCAGGGTTGTTTTTAGTGCATTGCTGTAAAAAAATTAGTGCAGTTCTCATTAATGTTTAGCTCATAAGGAATAAGAATCTATACATCTGTTCAGTCTCTTCTTGCCACACCCGAAACCCTTACACTGTTTCACCAAGCTGAAGGTTTGTAGTCAATTTCATTAAAATAAGGTGGATGAATTCCACACACTCTGTGACAAGACATGGCAATTTTTGGCAAAACAATTAGAAAAATATGAGGTGCTCTGATCTTAGAACTGAAAAGTTTGTTGATTTAAAGCATTACGCAATGCATAACAAAATTTATAAACAAAAGATATGTCTCAACAAATCTATCCTTCATGCAAGTGTTTCTTCAGCAGCTAACAACTTAAAAAAATTTCTTACACTTGTTTATTTGGGGGAAGGGACTTAGACAAATCTGTGTTTCAAGTCCTTTCCTACAACCGGACCAAAGTTTCATGTCCTGGGAGCTGCTTCTTCTGGACCCCTCTCTCTTCTGAATCGTTGGAGAAGGGGAAGTTTCAGTCTCAAAGAGATTTACACTTCAGCCCCAAGTTCAAGGACTCCAGTTTCAACAACAGCAACATATTTATCTTCAATTTGAACCAGCAGGATGGTTTTATCTATATGTGACCGACTACTTGGATCTCTGCTGCAAGGCACCCAGCGGTGAATCACCTGGGGGAAAAAAAAAACAAAGTATAATAAACTGTAAGCTCCACAGGGAGAGCTGTCATATCAAAGTTGTGGCTTATGATAACTCAAGACCTTTACAGGGCCAAAGTAGAAAAAATATAGGTGCTATATGACTTAGCTGCACATTTTTCAATGACAGCATACCCATAGATAAGCTGCACATTGAAGTCTTGCTGAAGGTCTGCTTCTTAAAATCACAGTTAGATCTTTTACAACCATGAGAGCAGCCAGTCTGATTTAGATTTGAGTAGGAACGACTTGACCCAAATCAAAACCAAACAGTTCATCCAAAGGGAGTAGCGACTATAAAAAGGACACACAGAGATTTGGGATATTTTGAAGCTCATTTTGTCTAAGAACACCTCAGTGCTGTGCAGCGCAGAACCACAGTTCACCAGGAGTCAGGTGTAGACTACTATCTCTTGCAAGTTAAAGCTCTTGCCAGGATTTTGTTACCTATGCACTGTGAATTCAAGGTTGACTTCTAAACCAAGTTATTAAAAGATAATTTTAAATTAAAAATATTACAAAGAAGAAGGGGTTCAGAAACAGTGCTACAAATTATTGTATCATACTTCCTTGGATCTACAGAACTCAAGTACTTTGATCTGCTACTTCCATGGATCTTGCCTGATATTGACTGACAGAAGGTCCCTTTTTTATACTTGTATGTCTCTATTTATCTGCCTCCTTAAAAACACACCTTTAACTTCTGGGTGCCCCAAAGGAACCATAAGGATGCTCCATTAACCTGGTTATAAGTGTCATCAGCTTTACAGAAATAGAATTATTTCAAATTTCCCACTTGTGGGAAAAGAACCCTTAATTCAAGACAAAGTAAGTAAAAAAGTAAGTAAAACTAATTTTTACAAATTCCACAGCAGTAAAGTTTTCAAGAGTCCTAAAGATATAAAGAGAAAAAAATGACAGAAAACCACAGTCTTCCAAAATCAAATCCAGGAGACTCACTTATTTTTCATTATACACAGCTGGCAATTTCTCTTAACACTGGGTGAAGGACATTTAGCTTTGTCCATTGCATGAGATCTATGCTGCATAGATACAGGGCAAGCAGTTCAGCCAGGGAAGCACAGCATCTTTAGCTCCTCTGATGCAGCAGTGATATTTAAGGGTCCATTCAAGTCTGACTTCAAAGAGTGTCCATATAATTTTTATGCTGCTGTATGGAATGAGAACAGGAATATCCTGTCCCCAGACACAATAAGAAGTGTTCCAATGAAGTCCCAAGTGCTACATACTTGTTGTCCAATTTAACACTGGTGCCTTTGAGATTACTACAGGCGTCAATATCATGGTTCCTTAAAAGCTGTGTATCTGCAAAAAGTTGTACACAGATTAAAACTCATCACTGCCATACTGCCACACTCAGTTGTACCATCTCTTCTATAATGACTGGCATTTATTTGGTACATGCAAAATGTTGTCACCAGGTAGTCAAGAGGTGGTAAGAATCTCTTGGAGGAAAAGGGCTCTTCTACACCCCAGTATCATGTACCATAGAAAGATAATGCTGGGCATACCCTCTCAAAACCAGGAAAAAATAGTTACATTCCAAAGAGGACTGGTAAATGTAATTTCTTGGAAGAAACCTTAAAATGTCTTTCTGCCTTATACACATATTGCACTGCATACTTAGCAAGATAAACTAGATTAGGAAAAATGCTTTTTTCTACGTAGCAGCAAAGTTTTAAACTACTGAGTGCTGAACTTCATACTGAGAGCAGACATCAGGTAAACTGATTAATGAGCAGCAACTCAGCAGGTAAGAATAATTTCTGTCTATTTGCAGGAAGGACCACAGTCACAGAATGAGAAAAGGAAGATTGTCCTAAGAGCTTTACTGATACTAGTATGTTTAACCACAGGCAGCTGAAGCAGGCAGTGTCATCAAGTTAAATCCTTTCCTCCTAATCACACACAGGATAATCTGGTGCTTTCCTCCCTTTCTTGTTAGGTTAAAAGATGCTCTTCTAAAAGCACCTGCCTATATGCTGTACCAAAAATAGATGAGAAGCATTCAGAACAACAGCTTACTCTGACCTTTAAATCCTCTTGTTTTAATCTTTCTGTAGCATCAATCACTGTATGTGTACATGCAGCATGCTGCAATTCCCAAAAGACACTCACAAACTCCTGAAAAAAATTGTCCAGTGACACCAGGCAAGAGGACATGTTTCAATATAACCCTTTACATTCACCATCTTTACCACATTCTTGATCTGCATCAGTATGTCTAAACCCAAGATAACTGAGGATATTTACAACAGCATTCTACTAATAAGTGTTACCTACAATGTAACACTACTGTCCTAAGAGTGGACTGTCAACTCTGTTCGCGCCATTTCTTACCTGAAGTTTGCACATATATCCACAGTGATGTGGTCTTTCAAATGGCAAAATCTATCCCTAAAAGTAATTTATAAATAATGCCTCCAACTGAGGTAAGCAGTCAAAGAAATTTGTTCAAAACTGATCTATTCCAAATGAAAATACAGTTGTATTGAAGAATAATTGTAGACCCACGTCAGTGACCCTTCCCTCTATCTCTAAGACAATACTAGAGCATCTTTACAGACATCAAGTTCTTGGGAAAAAAAAAAGTACATCACAGTAAAAATCAAAAGGTTTCAAAGACCACACTGGGTTTTTTTGCTCATAAAAGGAGCCTAAATTGGGAGATAAGTTTTCTAGCCAATGCAGTGAATTTTTGTAAACTGCAGATGTAACATCCATACAGAAAAGAGAGACACAATTTCAAGTCATAGGCTTTCACAAGTTTTAGTTAGAACAGCTTTCCCTCTTAAAGGAAAGTAAACACCTACCATTTATCTATATTACATAATAAAGTGACATCTAAAGACTATCTTATTTAGGAACAACTAATAAAAGGAACTAATAAAACAACTAATAAAAGGAACAACTAATAAAAGCACGTGGAAACATAAGAACATAAGCTCTCTTTTGATTGGAATAATTTAAAATCAAATACTGTTAATCTTTCAATTAAGGACTTGTTAGTAAATTTGTTCAGGGATTGACAGTTTAAAGAAAGGAAAATGAATGCTGGATGAATGAGAGCAATGCCTGAGAGATCATGACAAGCTGAAAGAAGGTAAGGAAGGAGTGGTGGCTTACAACATTTGAAACATCATCCTACATCTTCTCTACAGAGTTGCAGAAATAGCTCTCTGCCTCAAGTTAGGACTCTAGACCTGCTCTTCCAGCAACAGAGACTTTGAGGACAGCTGCTCACCTAACTTATCTACTACATCGATCTTTTCATTAACAGAAATAAAGGCAGACTGCCATAGAATCAAGACACTGCCTTTTTTAAGGTTAGCTTGCCAACTTCCAAGCAAAACTTACATGGCCTTCCATGCCTTCCTGAGGACTCCAGTCTTTCCAGCTGTTTCTTCCAGCTTTTAGCCGTATCACCTCATCTGGCCACTGCAGCTCTTTCCTTTTTGACACGTTGATCCCTTCCAGTACTTGACTGGGATCCATTAACTATAAGTAGGAATTGAGTTTTGACTGTTAGTTCAGCTAAAATTTAAAAGAAACAGATAAACTGTAACCTTTTGCATAATTCCAGATAATTGACTTTAACCCACTGAAATTGATTTCTGACAAATTTCAAGGTTGGAAACTTGAGCTCCAGGCTCTCCAAGCCCAAACAGCACTGAATTTGGAAATGATGCTGTGGTTTCAGACACCAGTGAATATGGTGAATATGCCAGTTCACTGAAGCAACAGCTCTGGTTCCATTCCCCACTTCATTCAGTTATACTAGCTCATGGCAGGACTGGGGAGCTGGCACAACAAAAGCATTGGCAGCACACAGTCTAGTAACAGGGAAAAGTTAAGTGATGATGAGCTGTTACGATAGGTTCTTTACTTCTTACAGAATATCTTAAGAAACTTGGGGAATTCATTGTTAGGCAGGAGAAATATTTATCTACTAGCATGGTTAGTTGAGACCCACTCCATGTTTTGAAGTAAACTGGCCTTTCCACAGGGCAAGCAGGAGAAAACTCCTGAAAAATTCTTCCTATTTAAGGACAGAGAGAACTCCATAATGTCCACTATCCAAGAGCACATATCCACTTTATCCTCCTCACACAGAGGATTAGCAAGCAGCTTCATAAAAGGGCCCTTGCCTGCAAACAAAAGCTATTAAGCACAGATCTGAAAAATTAACTTTGCCCACTATGACGCAATTTACGAAAGATTACTTAAACTGAGGTGGTAACAGCAATGAAATCATGTTTATTATGATCTAACCTCTTGAATGGGTTAGATCATAATAAACTTCTTGAGGTTTCCCGCAAGTATAATGCCAAAGACATGTACGTGGGGCTAATAAGAGCTAAGAAAGAACGCAAGAATAAACATTCCTGGATTTTCACAAAACAAGTAAGGCTGCCATGATTAACTTAGTCAATAGTGAATTGTTTGCTGCTCAGTAAACCCTGAAGTGGGTATTACCAAAGAATAAATACATATGAAAGTGAAAGCAGGTATTTTACACTTACTTTTGCAGAAAATCTACTTGCCTTCAAAGAAAAAAAGCTTTCTATCCTGCAAATGAAGCTGTTTACCTTTTATACATTACAGCAAGTAAAGCTAAACTAAATATGAAGTGGAATTGAGTTCCACTGACATTCTCAGAGCTGCACTACAGAAAAAAAAAAAAACCAAAACCAAAAAAACCCCCCCAAAAAAAAAACAAACCAAAAAAACCCCAAAAAAAACCAAACCAAACAAAAAAAAAAAAAAAAAAAAAAAAAAAAAAACAAAAAAAAAAAAAAACAAAACCAAACAAACAAAAAAAAAAAAAAAAAAAACAACAAAAAAAACAAAAAAACCCCCCAAGGAACATACAGGAAGGCTGTTTGTCCAGAACACCTTTTCTTTACATTAATTCTCCAAACATAACTGCACAGAAACTGTATACCAGATATTCTAGGACGTGTATTTGTAAGTAGCGATTTCAACAACATACAAAGGAAGAACTAACAAAAGCATGTGGAAACATAAGTTTACTTGTTCTTCTAGACTATTCACCTGGATTCTGTAAATAACGTCATCCTTTTTGGCTTGTATTTGGTTTGCAGGGCTTGCACTGCCACCTGACTGAGTTTCAGCTGCATTACTCCCTCCTTCTGTCCCTAGAAAGCCCACAAGGGCATGCTGTTTACAGGCTGGGATGCTTTGGCTGGAGCTGCTAGAAGAGGGCAGTCCATGCTGCACGCTGACCCCAGTCTGGCCAGTAGGTTCCATTTGGTTGACCATAGACAGGCGGGACTGGATGGATGAGGGGAGGTTGCGAAGGGATATCTGACTGGTGGAAGAGCGCCGGCAAGGCACAAAGCCCGCTGTGGATGTGCGAAGAGATGAATGACGGCTGCCGTAGCAGTAGGATGAATGGCTAGCGACTGAGGCACGGGCAGGGGAATGTCTGACAAGGCTGGACTGCACAGAGTGGGAGCTGTGACTGGTGCCTAAAAGTAAAAGATACACAATCAGGAAAGTTTGATAAAGCCTCCCACACACAACAGATTGCCAACACAAATGTTTTAGTGCACAGATATACAAAACTGATTGTCTAACCAACATCATCTGAAACAGATGTACTGCAGAAGATCTCTGCTGCATCTCACATAGCAGTATATTTCAATACATTCTATTCAGCTTATCTCAGAATTTCATATTCTGTTCAATTCACAATCCCTATCAGACAAGTACCTTGAAAAATGTTTTGCACTTTCTACATGAACAATTTCTTACTAAACATTAGCACTTCAGTTTACCATACTTGAGGCAATAAGAAAGGTAGATGCCCATGTTTTAAAATAATATCCTTGATTACACATTCAAGGTTTGGGTCAAAAAATCCATTAGAACAAAGCTATTTTAAAACAAGTTCAAATTTAATACATTTGAAGCTATAAACAAATTGCAGTTTATGAGCATTGGTGTAATTATTTCTCCTATACTAAATATTTGCAGATAACTCTCCTCAGCTGATAGATCTAATTATGTTCATACAAATCCATACATCTGTATTTTCTTTGTGAGTAAAGGCAATGTTTGAAAGACTTTCTCAGCTTTAGTGTTTGTCACCTCCTTAACTACAGTTCACTATGGACCCTTGGATAGATTCAGTTAGAATACTGTGCAAATAAGAGAACTCGTTTCACTGTATAAATAAGAAATATAAACATTCCCAAAAAATGATGAGTTCAGCATTTGCAAACAACAGAAGTGAAATATCCAGTCTGTAGAAACCTGTTTTAAAAAGTTATTTAATCTACTTGTCAGCACAACTATATCCCTATTTATCAGATCTGTCTGGGAACCTTGTATTGCATAAAACAGTACTGTAGTTTGAGATGAATCCAGCAGCTCTTAGCACGACATAAAATCACATCACTTTAGTTTGCTTTTTCTTTTAACTTAGGCCAAAGAGCTGAAAGGCCTGTTCTAGCTATAGGACCGAATTTGTATGAAGTTGTCTCTTTGTTTCAACTTTACCCAGAGTGGAGGGATGAGCTGGTGGATGAGCTGCAGGAAAAGTTGTGGGATGAGCTGCCACAGGAGGGTGCTGTACTGCTCCAGGTCCCTGCCCTGTAGTTGCATTCCCTCCTCCTTGTGACATGCTGCTCTGTGACTCATTGATAGTTGCATTGTTACTTGTGCAAGAAGCTCCACCTCCAGCATCTGAATCTTCAATATTTCCACCACTATTGCAGCCAGCTCCACAGCCTTTCCTTAGTCTGGAAACACAATGCAAGTGATACATTAATACACACCTCCTAATCATTAGTATCCTAAGAAATGCTTCATGACATGCAAAAGGATCAGCACAATCCACAGCATTTCCTAAAATCAGTTAAAACTTGACTTTATTTTCTCAGAATATGCTTTGCAAATATATTTTGCAAAGCAAAATTGCAAAAAATTGCAGTCTCTTAGAAAGTCTCTGCTTTCTAAGAGACTGCAATTTTTTTCATGACAGCTATTCAGTAACATTATTTATGACAAGTCAAGTGCTCATATAAATTAGCTTTTTAAAAATTATTCCACCTCTGAAATACAATACAGTGATAAAATTCCAACTCAAATGCTCATAGAACATCCTGGTTATTTTGTAACAATTTAATAAAACTTATGCTACTTAACACACTAGTCATGTGTAACTGTTACACTGCAAAAATCTTTGTCTACACAGATTAGCAAGGAAAATGTTTCCTGGATTTTTAATGTATTTGGTTTCTGTTACCTTCAGTAAAGCACTCACAATTGTTTGAAGCACATGCTGAACACTCAGACAGTAGGTTAGCCACCATTTTACAGCATACATAACCACAGTTTTTTCACCACATTGTTTACACTAATAAGCTTCAAATGGACACAAACACCACAGCACATTTCCTCCTCCCTTCAATTCCTACTTTCATTTTTCTTTTCTGTCACACTCAAGTACACTGAGCACTCCTTTCCAATTTTTTTTTGTCCCAGGACACAGAATCCTGAAGCATAAACCTTGGATTCAAATACTGCTGTGTGTCATGCTTTCACCTGTTATTCTGTCAAGTTGGACAAGCTGATGGCAATAGGAGACAAATACCACAGACTGCAGTAAATGTGGCATTTTTGGCACTCTGGGTGAAGCAGCATGTTCTGTTCTGATATGCGGTAGATGTCTAAGATAAATACAACCATCAGAACAGCTACAGGACTGTTCAGACCACAGCACAAGCTCCTGGAACTACTAAGAACCGGGATGTACATTTCTGAATGGCACACAGCTCCCACTGTTGCTTTTGGAGCCAGTCATAGAGGGCCAGAAGTGCAGTAAAAGTTCTCATGGCCTATAAAACACAGCACAGCAAGAGTTTGTATTGGATTACCCAGGGGTCATGTGGGGAAACAATTATATCATTCCAGTTACTTCTTCTAGCACTAACATACAGCATTATGTAACATATAAGCACTTGTGAGATTTTGAACAACAGCTAAAGCTTGCATAACTATGGATGAGCATGCTTTAAAGCATTAACATAGGCACTCTCATGCTAAGTATCTGCCAGACAGGAATCCTACCAAACAGTCCTGATTCTGTAAAGATGGTATTAAGAGACTGCAAAAGCCATCATACTGAAAAAACACAGTACAGAATTTGCATTGTGTCTCATTATCAGACCTAACATTAGATCTGAAGTTGCAGTTCCTGCATCTAGACTTTATCTTCTTGTCTCTGAGCTCTCATTTACATAGTTTGTGGTATATTACTCAGCCTTGGAGATTAATCCTGTACCAAAGCAGTTGCCATATGTTACTGGTGTGCCTAAAATAAGAGTCAAGGTTTATTTATTTTAATGTGACTGAATATTATAAATTATGCTGTGTTGGGCCTGTGCAAGACTAGTTAATGGAATGAGAGCATGAACACACACTAATGAGAACCCCTTTCCTCAGTTCACCTGTGCCATGTAGACACTATGAAGTTTCTGATGTTTCCTAAGCTGATGGCTCCCCCAAGAATGTCCTTTAGCTGTTCATGACTATCTGAATAGGAAGTAGTCAAAGGTGAGACATAGATTGGGTATCCAATTGGCTGGTCACAAGAAGAGTTGATCATGTTCCTCAGAGCTTGTTTAGCATTTTGGATACTTCCTCTTTCTGGATTACGATTACGCAGGAAGACAAGCTCCTGCTGTTGTCCTGCCCATAGGCCACGCACACACTCCTTATTGACCTGCAAAAGCCAAGAAGAGAGGCTGTGTCAGAAAGCGAAGCAATGAGAGCATGTGGTGACTGCTACGTTATACCAAAGCCTTTGTGAGCACATGCAGTATTGCACTGCAGGACTGCCAGCATTCACATGCAGTTCTTTTACAGGCTGAACCTAGGGGCACAGGCTGCAACAGTGAGCATAAACAAATTTAAGAATGGGATGAGAAATAAGTGAGAGGGAACTGATTTTCTGATACAATTCTTGCACTGTATGAGAAGAACCAGCCCTATTAATAACAAAACAGTAAAGATTTCAGTTGAGGCAGCAGTTTGGTATAGTTATTAAAATACACCTCAGCTTGCTGTCACACTGTGAAATGTACACGAAGCTTACCTTAATGACCCTGAAACTGAGATAGCGCTTATTGAGCATAATGATTTTATATTCATTGGTGCCATCGTCCATCACGTGGCGCAGAGCAAGAAGGGACGGAGAATTGGAAAGAACTGCACTTCGCCAAGCAGGGTCCCCTTCATGTGCTATAACTAGATTTTCTTCATGAGTTGTTATAGCTTCATAAAGGACAGAAGGATCATCATATTCATCTGGAGAAGTGAAGTGATCCTGTTTCCAAAAATACATGTTCATTGAGCTATGATTAACATTTCAGATGTAACTACATATAAAAATAGAACATTTCACACCTCAAACATTTAAAATGATCAGTGCGTAACACAAAGTTAGCCACCACCAGTAGCAAATACCTATTTAAGAACACTGTTAAAGATGACTTATTTTACAACAGATTGGTTCTGTTTGCTTGTATTTGCTTAAACTTAAAACCAAAATGATTAGAAGGACCTGCCTATCACTGATTCAAGTAAATTTCTATTTATACTGCTGGCAGAAGCTTTTTCCTTTTAGCTTCTCTTCTTATTCATAAACTTCCAACTGTAAAACACTCTTAAGTAAAGCACAGATTATTCACTGAGACTGTAATATATGAAAATAGCAATAAGAAGAAAAACAATATTTACTATGAAAAAGTTCACATTAATACTTGATGACAAATTTCTTCAGCATCAAGACAACTTACATTACTATAAAGACAACTTACATTACTGCCAAATAATGTAGTCAAATAAAAATAGTCAAATAAAAACTAAAACACAAAACAAACAAAACACAAAACCTGCAAGTTTAATTCAGTATTGAGTAACATTACTTTCTGGCTAAAAAAGCATTGTGGTTAATAGCTAAATTTTCACACTGACTGAAGCCTGGGTATGCTGATGCACTGCAAGTGAATTAAATCATTTTTCACAGATTAACAGAATAATGTTCAGAACTTTTATTTCTTCACTGTTACTGTGACCTGTTTTTCTCTCTCTCTTCATTCTTTGACTTCAATCAAAGCCGTTTTGCACAGCAACCCTCTGAGAACACTTAGAGAGTTGTTGAAGTGGTACCTCTGCTGGTTTCAACAACAATTTGGTAATTATTCTGCTTTGCTGTATGTACTCCTATCACACACCTTCTCCTAGATTCAGAAAGTTTGTATTACATGAATAAGTTAATTCAATCACTGCTAGTTTTGGGAGGCTCCAGACTGCAATGGAGGCAAAAAAAGAAACCTTTATCATTAATTTTTAAACTGCAACTATGATTTGTTTACTTATTATGATTTTCAAGCAGTCTATTCTTCCTGATTACTAACACTTCTCCCCCCTTACAGAGTGCTTATCACTAAGTATATGTTTTCTTGTACTTGCTGAGTTAATACATGGACTGGTCAGAATTTGAGAATCTTTACACACACTTCACTACAAAGACAAATTCTAACTTCAGCTTATGGAAAAGCAACCTTCTCATTCTCACCTGAAACTTGTGATTACAACACTTCAAAGTTAAAAGAACAAGAAAAAAAACTCCCACTGGAGGAGAGGACTATGCAGCTTTGAACGCATAACCTTTTAAACCAATTACCTATGTGTAGGGAGGGAAGAGGGAAAATATCAGAGAAGCTGTTCATAAGGGAAATCTCTAGATAGGTATGATACAGGGCTTGACATCTTCTCTGATCTACAGTTAATGTAATTTTCAAGCTCTGAGCATAAACAGCATTCCCTTTTCCTCTGTATCACCTTCCAAAAAAAGTTGTAATAAATCAAAGGACAAGACACAATAGTCCCTCGTTTTCAGTAGTCAATTTCTATCACAGTCCTTTTATTATCATCCTCTTTTTCCTTTTTCCCAGCCACTAATTTTTAAAAGAAAAAATGCACAAAAATTAAAAACTAGACACAGTGTTCTGTGTAATCTCTCACTTGATGTAGCTTCAGTGACATCCGTATTCCAGGGACCACTACTTTCCTCAGTAATTCCATGTCAGCAAAGATCCATTCATCTCTAATTGAAGATATACGGAAGTCACCCTTAAATAGGGCATGCAGGCCATACAAGAAGGATTCCAGGTTACTGTTGAGGGGGAAAAAATGAAAACAACCCAGATATTAACAGAAGTATATATCCACAGTTATAACTGAAAAGAAACTACTGAGCTGCACAGAAAGGCACACAATTCTTCTCTACCACGGTAAGCTACAGGATAAGATGGGGAAAAAAAAAGTGTGTGTAAAAAAATTTGGTACATCAGATGTCTACCTGCACTGAACTGGTAATGAACAAACTATACATGCAACAGACTATTTACATGGACTAAAGCAAACAAGTATCACGAGGAGTGCCTGATTTAAAGAAACTGTTTTCAATTACTAAGCTAACTTAAGAGTGAAGAATCATATATGCTCTGATGAATCTTGCAAATCCATATATAAACAACCTTCAAGATGGCTAGAACTTAGAGGAATTAATCAACAGTTGCCCTGAAATTGAAGTAGAACAGGTTTTATAGTCAGCATCCAGCTGACCAATAGCTTCCACATCCAATTATGCTTCTTTTCAAGCCATCACCTTGTGATTTCCTGAACCTTATAGCTGTATTTTACATTTGCTTTCTAAAATCGAGGCTGTCAGTCTGCAAGAAAATTGCCATATGACAACAGATTTGAGCTGAAGATTTGTACAAAACACAATTGTTTGCCACAGAGCCGCCTAAACTGTGATATTTACCACAGTGATCTCATCTAACATCCACCAAGACACATCAGTTTTTCATTTTAAGAAACTTTCCTCTTTTCCCCCTAAATTCCATATAGGACATCTAGTTGGTGCAGGAAATGGAGCTTACTTATAAATCTCAGACAGTTCTAAACTGGTTATAGCCAGTCCTTACCGATACCAGAACTCCCATCTTGAATTAGTTCAATAAAACAATACGCTTAGCTGCAAGTCCTCCCACATTTGCTCTTCTATAGTTACATTTCAGTGGTTGTTGTAATGAAGTTACATAGCACATTTGCCCAGCTTAAGGCAAGACGGCATTAATTATCTATTTCTTCTATGAAAAGATACTAATCTAAAACCTAATCTAAGAACTCAGAGGGATTTTGAGGATAGGAAACTTAGAGCAACAACATTTTATTACCTAGACATATGATGTGAAGCTGTTCCCAATGCTCTCCGCCCCAGAACACAAAGTCCATAACACAGTGTCACTAGGGGTGAGTCTTTACTTGAATCCAGTGGCTTGTAATAACAAAAGAAAAAATAAGTTAGGTGAATGGAAAAAAAGACATGGCCTATGAAAAGGAAGATTCTGCCAGATGAAGTAAAAAGACCCCAACACAGCAGTTCTCAAGTGTGTGTATGTACCTACCACAACAGTCACTCTTAAAAAAACAATTCTGATTTAAAGTCTGAGCAAGAGTTTTACAAGTATTTAAGAATACTTGTAAAGGTGAACACCTATATATGGTTATTTGAAATAAGAATTTTTAAGCTATAGAGATGCATGCTACATTCCTCATGGTGTGTATCTTGCAGGCAAACTGCTGATTAGCTAAATTATAGGGTTTAGACAAAAATATTTTCTGTGCATACAGAGGATTATCACTGGTTATGAGTATTTAAGCCTGATTTACCTGACAACTTCCCTGGACTACAGCTTTAAGTCAAGGGGTTAGTTAGGGGAAACTTACCCTCAGTTCAAGGGCAGTAGTATAGCCAGGGTATATAATGCCCTAGCAAAGGGCATCATTCAATTAAGTGATTAAATCTGATTTTCGTGCATATACAAAATATTTAATGTAATTTCTTGGAGGGAAATAATTTTCTTTGGCTGTTGTTTGTCCTTTGACCACAGGACACTAAGTCTTACCCCTGTTAAAAGAGGCTTTAACTGATCTTTTATCTCCAAAGCAAAACTGAACCCTTAAGTCTTGGGTCCTTCACTAAACAGGTAAATTCCATTTGCTTCTCCTGATGAATGTCAAGTGTTTTGGGCCTGCAGCCTTAATGGGTGGGAGCTAAGGCTTGGATCTACCCCTGAGACACAGCGGAGCCAGCAAAGATGGGTTATTTTAAATTGTGTGGTGACAAGCCTTTTTTTCCCCCCCTCCCTTTTTGTTCCCAGAGGATAGCTGGGGAAGTTTGCTGTGCCAAACAGTTGGAATGTGTTTTTTCTCCTCTTTCTCCCCCTTCAAAACAAAAAGAGAAAACTTTATGCTGTGAATTCTGTTAACTGGGAAACATAAATCCAAACTGTAGTGCAGCATTACTGGGCCTAGGCACCTATTTATATTCCTGTCACTTTAATCTCAATCAATGTCTGCTTATTGTCAAAGGCAAAGTTAATTTGACACAGTTATTTTGTAAACAGTAAAAAGTCAAGCCATTCCTCTACAAACATACTAACACTCCTATTTAAAAGGTGGAAGGATTGTGGAAAGAAGAAAAGGTTGAATGTAGGATGATTGTTTACACAAGCCAACAATTCCAGTGGTCCAAGGAAATGGTACTGTGCGATCACTGAGAAAGAAGGAGTGAGTCTAAGCTGGAAATAGGTATCTTAGGTTTTAGGGATTTTTGTTTTGGAGTTTTTTTGTTTAAGTTGGGGTTGATTTGTGAACACTGATACCTAAGTACGAAACATCAATTCTGCAGACATACCTTTCTAATGTCTAAGATTCAACTGGTTCATTTGAGCTGGCAAATAAAATTCATTAATGAACTGGTTAAACCGTAAACTGCTTGCAGAATCTATTAAATTCACATCTCAGAACTGGAAGATCAAAATAATTTCAATCAAACACTTTAATTATACATACTTATTTTAAAAATCAGCATGAAACCCATCTGTAAGTCAAACCAACAGGAAAAAAGTGACACCATCCTTACCTTTTCTCTTCGAGAGCAGCAATATTCTATCCAGTTCAAATATATCATACAGAAGCTCTCTCGTGAGATCCCTGCCAGACGGTGGTCATAATCCTCATCAATATTGGGGTTAAATGTTGGGTCTACATCCACATAATTGCGGTCTGTGCACAGCCGCAGGCCCTCCTGCATTGTCTCATTAGCTAACCATTCCTCTAGCTTGGGGGAGGTTGTGACATAATAGATGATTCCCTGAAACAGTAGCAGTTAAAAATATGAGTCAATACTGCAATTTAAAAAAACCCCGTCAATCTCAATGTTTCAACTTATTTGAATTTTTGTGGTGAAAATGAACAGAACTGATACACAGTAGCATTGATATTGCTCACAGGTACAACAGATTTGCATAGAAAACACAATACAGGTGGTGCATAGGAGTATTTTTCAAAGACTGTCACGATTTTGAAGCCTACACTGAAGGAATAAGGAAAGGAAAAAAAGGATGGGATAAGATCCTCACTGTAATTTTTGCAGAAAACAAATACATAGAAATTTTTATTTAGTTAACACAGAGGCTTAGATACAGACATTCTAAAGAATTCTAAATTTTTTTAAAAAGCTAAAACACTAAACAATTTAAGACCCCTGTGCTAGGGAACAACTTGTGTGCATGTGTGAGTAAGTATCTTGGAAATATATTAACCTGAAAATTTTCAGCTCTCAGAAAGAGTAGTTTATGAAGAATCTCAATTAGTGCACTGATTGCCTAAAAGGATCTGAGGTTACAGTCATCTTAGAATTGGAAGAGAGGGCTTGTTTCTTTTTTAAGAACCAAAGATATGTTTGGACAGCTTATGAAGACCAAAGCAGCTTGGCTTTCTCTTAAGAAACAAACAAACCAACTTCTTTTTTTACAACAGAGCTATTGTATTTCAGTAACGGTTTAAAGTTCCTATTCCAGCTTCAGCTAGGAGGTGTGCTCTCTCTGATCTAGAGTACAGGGTCATTGTCCTGCTCATGTGCTGGACTTCTGAGTCACCGTGAGTACAAGAAACTGTCCTCCTTTGCAGGAGGTGTTCATACATCTGCAATTATCACCTCACCCCATGATCCTCATGTGACAGACATGATGGGTTCAAGACACTGAGCAGTTCCCAGGTGTAGCCCAGCCAGCCTCCCCCCACAGGCTGCACTGAGCCAAACCGCACCTTCACATAGTAAGTGGTAAGAATTTTCCGGAGATCAAAGACTTGGAGCATGGAAGCCGCACTGTTGTCAGTGATGCTGTAACCCTCCAGAACATACTTTGTTACAAGCACTTCCCAAGCCAGCCAACGCTGCCCAAAGGCTGCATTAAAGGAAAGCATGTGAGGAAGGTGGCCTGGTTCACAGCAACAAAAACCTTCATCTTCCTCTACACCTTCAGTGATGGCCTCTACTTCTCGTTGCTGACAGTAAGTTCCTTAGGAGAAAATAGAGGAAAGAGTTGAATGCGTTATATGACTGCTTTAATGTGAACTTGTGTTTAGAAGACTTGAAATTTCAAGCAATTTCCAATTAAATTCTTTTAACAGTAAGTGAACTATCCACTAACAAACACAAAAGATTTAGATAGCTTAATTTATCACTCTAGGATCCCATTTTAGTTCGGTTTCACTAACAAGTAGCCATGTTGCACTAAAATGGAAAGAGGGACTTAGCGTCAAATGACATGAGCATCAAGAGGCCCTGCAGGCCATTTTCAAAGCAATTTATTAACAGGACAGAACTGAAAATAACTTCAATTTCTAAAGCAGAAGCCTACTTTTTAGTGCAGACAACTAAGGACATCTAAGACACTCACCTCTGAATTCAAGCCCCCTCAGCTGGAAGGTGACCAAGCCATTTCCTATCTCTATAAGGTGTACTAGTGCATTGAGGTAGTCAGAGGCTAGGATGAAGCAGTCCCCAGTACTGTAGTTTCCCCAGCGACCCAACAACAAGTCTCCACATAAGCTGTGCTGAAGGGAACGGGTTAAATGCTCATAGAAGATAGAATTCAGGTTGTTATCATCTGAACCTGCAGGAAGATTGGATTTAGGTTACCTGAAACTGCAGAAAAACATCAAGTTTGATTTACTTCACATTGAATCCTATCTTATTCTTAACCACAATACTGTTTCAAGGTCATACTCTATCCCCCACTTTCCCCTTTTTATGAGACAACTACTCCAAATGAATCCCAAGTGACATTTGTATTTTGGACCAAATTTTTTTTTTTAGTCACTCCTCCATTTCCCAAATTATTCCTTCAGTTCCAGTCATGCATCTCCCATCAACCTATTCAAGATAATAAAGTGCAGAAGCAAATGGAGCACAGACATCTCAGTGATGTCTGTTGTACTCACTACCATAATAATGAGACACCCTCAAACAATACTTGGTACTTTTTAAATTACTGAAGAATAAAAAGCAAAACAGTTTAATGCCTGCTACAATTATAAATAAAAAGGTAAATGCAAACCTAAGAAATCAAAAAACTTATGGGAGAGCCTAAAGAATAAAGCAAGAGAGATGACAGAAGAAAAACTAACAGTAGACAGAGCGACAACTGTTGGACATGGTTGGACAAGATCAGAGGGCAAAGTGATCATGAATCCTATAAAAATCCAATAAAAAGCCATTTACATTTGGAAAAAAAAAAAGACACTAGACGAAAACACACACCTAAAAAAAAAAAAAAAAAAGAAACCAAACAACCCACTTCCCAAATGCCACCCCCCCCCCCCCCCAAAAAAAACCAACCCCCCCAAAAACCCCAAACCAGCTGTCAAAATCCATCTAGGAGAGCTACCTGGATTCCGATCCAGCTGCGAAGCCAGTCTAGTATTTGAATGATCCACACGTTTTGTGCTGTAAAGAATAAAATAAAACATACTTAATGCAAAATACATTACTGCAAGAATGTCTAAGCAAAGAACTAATAATACAGTGTTCAATATTCCCAGTGAAATAGTTTCAAAAAGTTATTTTAAAATAATTTCAGATGCATATTTTCTGCTCTTCTCATATGCAAAAGTATTTTTTGTGTATGATAGTATTATAATGCCTTATAAAGTTTGTCTACAGTAAATAGCAATACAATAATCTTGCACTTTAGATGAAAGTGCATACATTTTCTTGGGTACGAAGTTTTAGATGTGAGAATAAATTAGGACCAATTAAATCAGCCCAGCTAACATTTCAGTAGACTTTAGTGAAAGATTAATTTTTAAACAGTTCTTTCATTATCTGAAATTACAACTATAATGCTTTAATGTAAGATTTGAAATATTGCATTTAAACTGTTCTAATGTTAGAAGGGAAATAAAAAATACCAGAAATATCCGTTCAACTTGCCCTATTCTGTTTATATAATATTTTATTGGTCTGATAAGCTCTCTATTGCTGATAGTGTAAGAGAAATAAAACAAAAAGAAACATATTCTGACCTGAAGATTCTTTTACTACTGATCCCACCTTGAACAAAAAAAACCAATTACTTTGAAATATTTTTGTATTAAGTTCAGCCAGTTTTGCTGTGAGCAGAACAATAACAAACACGGGTAAAACACACCTACGAATTGGTCCCCAAAAACTTTTTATACATAAACTCACTTTTTGATTAAAATTACACTTCACAATGCCATGAATTTCATGTTTAAAATACCAGGATGGCATAACACTATGCAGAAATTACTTTAGCAGCTGAAGCAAATGATCCTGGTGTAAAAAACAGCTGCTACAGTATTTCAGAAACAAGTTCAGTGAAAACTTTCAGTGCTTTATACTAGTTTTCTCTGGGGAAAAAACAATAACAGAAATTCACAAGTTAAAAAAAAAAAACAACCAAAAAAACACCCCAAACCAACATTTCAGACATACCTAGTCTATTAAAAACAAATTATTTAAAACTTTCTTGTTTCACCTACTTGTAGTCTCTTTCCCAGAATTTGACAGGCCTGGCATATGAAGTGATGAATATTGCACTTCCCAGAAAAGGATTCAGTGGAGTAGAGAAGAAAGCTGACACAACTGCTTGGACAAATAACATGGCAGAATCTGTAGGATACGAGAATTAAGGAAAGCAAGGCAACAACTACTTTTTTTTTTAGTTTCTGTGATTGTGTTCAATACAGACAGCAACACTAATGAAGAGCAAAACAAGATCTCTATGAATTTCTATGCAGCAAAGATGTTTGTAGGATTTCCAGCATTAAGGGGATTCTTTTTGTTTTTAAAAACAGAAATAGATGGAAATCTGGCACTAGACATGACAGTCATTGCCAAAATTCAGTTGAAAATACTAACTCAACACTCCATTCAAACCAGCCTACAGAAGTTTAAAATGCAAAACTCAAGGACTAAAACCATAATGACTCCTGCAAAAGGGAATGACTATCAAAAGGAAAATCATGTGATTTTCAGAATTACTTCTGGTTTCTTTTTTTTTTTTTTACATCAGGATGCTATTCCTACCATTACCATATAATTCACAGCATTGTAACACGGCAGAAAGTGTGCACAGCTTCTTTGTAAATACTCACTAGACAAACCTGCTCTTTCAGCAGTTTTACCCCATAACACAGAATCCATTACAATGCAGTACTCAGAAGTTATAAATAGATGACTTCAGAAGAAGGTTTGCATTTTCAAAGGATACGTGGCACAGCAAAGGGCTGGGCAAAAGCATGGAAGGCAGACCCCCATGTGATCTGCCAGGGAGCAATGTAGGTATATACAAATCTCAATTTATAAAAGAGTTCCCAAAGCTACAGGGAAAAAAAAGAGAAAAACAATTCAGTATTTTCAATAACAATCAACATGCCTTGCATCCTGAGGAATTTAGTGGTCATCCTAGAGTTCTTACTGATCTACCAGAAGCTTTGAGACTTCAAAAAATGATGTCGTTATAAAAGCAAGTAACATAAGATGCACTTCCTAGTTCTACATACAAACTCAGGAGATGTTTAGAAACTTACATATGGTTTCTCAAGCCAACAGAAATGCTTTGGGAAAGAGAAGTCTTAGCTGCCTTACAGCATATCTATTACAGTACAAAAGACTGAGAATCTGCAAGATTACCTATCAGATAGGACTATCCATCTGTTTTCCCCTTTGGATGAACTGAAACACCTAAAAACAGAGTGAAAAGTTACCTTGCTGAAGAGTATGGACATGAAGAAGAGATCTAGCAGCATGGTCTCAGTAAAACTTTTGTAATCAAAAGTAAAGAAGAGCACTGTGAAAATAACAGTGACATACTGGCACGTTGGGCTACTGAATGATGAACGCAGTAACTTCAAGCCAGCTATTGTGATCATTAAAGCACCCAACCTGTGTAAGGAAGTCACACAAAACAGTTATTACCTGTTATCTGAAAGGGGTTTAAAGACCACTTAAGCTGTGCTGTCATGCAATATCAATCTCTTCATACTTTGACTTGGGTTTGCTTTTGGAATTGGGGGCAAAGGGTGTTAATGATTTGTTGTTTTTTTAAAGATAACATCTGATTTTTTTTTAAAAAAAGGTTACCATCTAAATCTTTTCATCAGTACTCTCAAGCCAATCAATGCTCAAGATTATTTCTAAGCATGCCACTAAAAAAGAAAAAAAAATCAGGAGATGAAATATCCTTGTGGTCTGAAGAAAAACCTGGTCTTTAGGTTATGAATGCTAAAATCCAAAAGTGCTAGATTATTCATCAAGAGGATGTTAATGAACACTGGATTATCATTTCCTGCATGACTATACTGCTCTAATTTCTAATGAGGGAACAGCAATTTTTTTCAGACATAGCAACTGACATACCAAAGGGTTATTAAAAAAAGAAGTTAAAGTAACATAACAGCAACGTTCCTCCCAAAGGTCTCATAGTGACTGTGATAATGAGCCCAAAGCAAGAACTTACTAGATGCAAGGATTAAAATTAAGGAAGCCAAAAAAGCCACACACCACCCCACAAAATAAATCTAACAACTTGCCTCCCAAAATATTTTCTGTTTAGTTTCAATATTTATACTCTTTTATTCCTAAGAATTGAATTTCAAATCCAAAAAAGACACTTGGTTACTGCTTCTTGGGAGGCAAAAAATGCAGGGCTTATTATTGAGCTATCATTTGCTGAGACAGTCAGATACACTGCTCAAGGGATTATAACTAAGATTCAATTTAAGAAGCAGTGTGCAATTCCACCTGGATATGGATTATACTTAGGGGCTAGGAAGCCTGGGGAATTCCTTGATGAGTGATGAAAGGTGCAGAGGGGCAGCACACTGGTACACCAACTCAGAGAGCAAGTCTGAAATTTACACTTGATAAACTACCAGAACATATCAACACTATCTTGAACTTGCCATCTGGATAATCATATTATAGACTCTGTAGCTCAACAAGCAAACTTATCACAGTACTAGGTAATTCCACAACATGCCATCTTCACAGTATATGCTAGGAGTTGAATGATTTATCTTTGCAGGAGTGTCCTGTTTACCAGTGTAATACTCCAATCAGTTTAAGTCAGCTTTATGCAGGTTTTCAAATAAAGAAAAGCTTTATTTATTCTTTGCCTTACTCTTAATACAATACCATTAAGGTATTCTGTCTTCCCATTGATGCCAGAAGTCACTATTTAATTTCCCACCACGGCAGACATACTCAAGATTACTTAATAGCCTTCTCTACTTACTCAGTATCCAGTTTCTTTGGACTAGCAATATTCTTAGCGCTGCTACTAAGCTCATTGAGGACTATCAGTGGATAGATAACATTCTTCTCTACAAAAAGGAGCCAAATGTGAAGTTTCTCAAACCACATAACATGTGCAGCATCTGTCAAGATATATTAAAAAGAAGAAATCAGATGGCACTGTCAAATCAAAACCACCTGGTTATAAAATAAAGACTCTTCATTTAATCAACTTGGAATAACTGTTCTCTTACAATGAACTTTGGTAGTTTATTTAAGCAAAATAAAGAGAAGTTCCTGTCAGCAGCCCCAGTAGAATTTTGCACTGTTCACACAACAACAGAACAGTTGGCAAGCTACTTGCTTACTGTACGCATAAGGAAACAAACTGGGTTCCACCTCTCCAATAATTTCAACATTGCTATTGATGAAACTGTTTGAAATGATGCCTTTTGTCTCACACAAAAGGATGTTTTTCAACCCTATTCAATTTGAAGGACTCCTGATTTACAGCTCTACAGAAGAGCCTATGTAACCAGCCAACACAAATGTCTGTCACTTGAGCAACTTCTTTTAAACTTCTACAAGAATTGTAAGGTGTGTTTCAAATTACTGCAAATTAAGATAAAAAAATTGTTCTACAATATAGGCTAGAAGATTTAATGTCAAAAGTTGTGGTAAACATTGATGCCTACATAAAGGGCAACAACTGTAGCTTTTCTAGTTTTAGAGATTAAAGACTTGATGCATTTAGTTGCACTTCTCACTTCTTCCAGATAAAAGTCTGACATCATACTACAATTGCTATTCATATTTATCCATCTTTACATGCAATCACTGGGAAAAAAATCCCACAAGTTAGACATCAATGAAAAGACCACACTGAATGGCTGCTACAAAGGTAGAAAGTTTGTGAATCAATTCTGATAATTCTCTGCTCCTGAAAGCAGCAGAATGCTCCCTTGTTTTGACAATTATTTGAAAAGAAAAACCAAAATAGTTCCAATTTTGTCCAAGGCAGTTTAGACAGGAGTTTCTTAAGTCTGCTGTTAACAATAAAAACATTCCAACAGTGAAGTCCCCACAATCGACCACAACATTTATCCATTCTGGAAAACTAATAAGCAGTGTAACTTCATCTTTTTTGCATCTCTGGGGAAAAATTCCATGAAAACATAGGCTTTAGCCTAATGCTAAAGCCTAACATAGGCTAACAGCCTAACATGCTAAGCTGCAAGCACATATCTATGCAGATCAAGTTGTAAGACTGGTCCCTTGGTGTCTTCATCTATCAGCTGACCACTCACTATTTTCTGTGGTTAAACATGTCAACAACACTATTAAAAACCAAATAAGTGCCAGAATGAAGTCTCCACCAGCACTTGCCACACCTAATCCTCTAAAACATCTGAAAACTTAATATGTTGAGGAAATACATAGTGAAACACACTCAATCTTTATGAAAAATTATTGAGGCAATCACAAGCACAAACTTCACCACTCAAAATTTTGAAGACTATGTTTTAATGGAACTGCTCTGAGATAATGTTAACACTCATATCATCATCATCATCAGTTAAGAGATACATAAAATGTCATGGAATCAAAGCATGAGGGACTGAGAAACAAATACATTTATAGATCAGAAGTTATGAAATCCAGCGGTGAGAAAAGTAAAGAGATGAAGTAAATCAATAGGTAAGACAAGTTGGTCAGCAGCTAGCTACAGCAAGTTGAAGGAAGTGTTACAGACAATACTTACTCCGGACTTCAAACTGATGGTATTCCTTGGTTTTCAGCAGCGGGTGAGAAAAGCAATGCCAAGGAAGCTGCTTTCGGAGTTGAGGCAGAACATAATGGGTCACAAAGCCCACCGTACCCACCAATGCATAGAGAACATAACTTAAAATAGGCTAAAAAAAAGAATTGAAGAAATTAAGATCTGTGTTTTATAAAAAACATAAAATATTACTTTGCTAGTGTATTTTCCAGCATATGAGCGGATGCTCCTGCAATACTAATGCATCTCTTCATGAGAAACTGTACTACCAATTTTAAGATAAAACAAGAAACCCTGTGAGAAAAAAACCTTCATATCTAACAAATTTTCACTAAGCTGAAATGTACTTTCAAGTAAAAATAGTACACCAATCTTTTTTCACAGTCCATTGCTTCTGACCCATATACATTTTATAAAGGTATTATTCTCTAAAGGCTGAACCCCATTTACATTTCCATCTGCTAGATAAAAGGAGGTATAAGCAAATCATTAGTTTCACATTCACTTGAGAAGGTAAGAAGCCTCCCACAAGACCAATCCCTTCCACAGAAGTCACAAAGTACTGTAAAATTAACAAGGGATGATGGTTGGATTTCACAACAATGCTTTCTACATATTAAAATTTTCTCTAAATTTCTACATTAAGTCTAGATAATTGCAAAACTAGGATTGCATTATCTTGTGATAAGCTCTTGGTGAATTCTGTGAAGCCCAAGCCTATTTAAATATACAACTGGTGAAGAGCATACAGCCCAGTCTCTCAAACATGGGGGAAAGCAACATTCAGGTGGAGTGCTGAAATCCAGCCATACAATAATAGAAGGGATATTTTCCTCAGAAAGCACAAGTACACATGCTTAAGTAATGCACTTCACCATGAAGACATGAAATTACCTAAATGCATATGCTTTTAAAAATTAGTTTCTTACTTTATGCAGAATGTATTCTAAAATAGATGCCAGAAATTTTCATTTGCCTTACATAAGGCTATTCATCAGCTAGCCAATGGTTTCATAATAGGAATACCAAAATAAGAAACTCAGTAACTGCAGCTCTTGGGGGAAATGCTTTACTTAAACTGAAGCACAGGATCTAGTCCCATGCCATTATCATCAAGAGCCACAGATACACATTAAAAGTATCCAAAGCACTAGCTACAATGACAAGTCAAAAACTTAAAACTCAAATGATCTTTAAAGTCCTCTAAATAATCATTCCAATAATGGCATACTGCCCTATACTACAGTCTACGAAGAGCCATGCCAGCATGGAACTGCTGAGTCAAGGTTCAGCCCCTCATATTTAAGGCACAAAACATTTTAAACATTGTTTTAAAGTTTTATTTTTCCTTATTTCAAAACAATTCTGACGCTATCTGAGATCGATGACTCAAAAGAGGGTGTTTTGTGTCAGAGGCTATAATAAAAATCTAAAACATAGGAAGAAACTAGGAAAGAGCTAAGGAAGATGATCTTTTGAGCACATAAAAGTGATGACCTTCAGTCAGTCACGTACTTATCATGCTATATATTTAAATACCAGCTAAAATTACCCAGAAGATTCAGTGAACTACCAGAATACACTTTATATCACACCACAGTATTTGCATACAAAAGGCAAGTTGAAGACACAAGGTAACATCTTACCTGTAAAACTGTAAATACTGTACTGACATGAATTGCAAAATAGAGGACACCAATCACTATACACACTATCAGGTCAGACTGCAATCGTTCACTCTGTGGAGTCAAAATAAAATAATTTTAGAAAATACCAGCTTTGACTGACCTGTTAGAATCATTAAAGTTGGAAACTATCCCCAAGATAGAGTGCAACATTTCAATACCTCCTTAATACACAAATGCAGTAACACTGAAAATTATTAAAGATTTTTTTAAATTATGCTATTGTTAACTACTACTGAAGTTATATGAAATTTCACAAGACAAACCTTACAGCTAAGAGCATCAGTTCAGCTAAGTGAAAGACTCATAGTGGGGCAGGACAAATCAATATATCAAATATTTTCTCTAATCCTGGACTGTGAGGTGGGGTAAGGGTCCCCTGATGAAAGCACTGGAAGGGACAATCAAATTTCCCCTTTATGATCTAAGAAGTGCTTAGACTAGAGGGCAGTTAAGAGCCCTGGAGGAGTGCTGCTGAGGCCAAGGTACCAACCAGGTGAAACAACCAGGCTCTTTAACCCTCTTCTGACATTGTAGAAGGGTACAGGATAGCTTTGGAATGACCCCGAGGAACGAGTCTGAATTTTCCATTACTCCCAAACAATGAAAACAAGCCATTGATAACGGGCAAGCCCCGCCTCAAGACCTGTAATGCCAGCCGCAGCCACAAGGGGGCAATGTGTACTTAGGGCCTCAAGTGTAGATTTACCACTCTGTAAAAACAGCATCAATATTTACAGCCCAGAAAATCATTAAAGGATTATCTACTCCAAAATTGGACAAATAATTACACACAGCAATTATTGCTGTAAAGCCTTAACTTTCTGGGCTACAACTTGCTTTTTTTTAATCAGTTGTCCAGATTTTAAAAACCACAGTAAGAAAGACTATCAAAATCCTCAGCTCCTCTGCCCCCTTGGAGACTAATACCACAGTTTGAGAGCTAAAGAGGAGCTTGCAGCTCCTGTGGTAACTCTTTCCTGCTAAATGTTAAAAGAATTGCAGTTTCTCTGCTCTAAATATTTATTTGCAGTTTCCACACACTGCACCTCATCATGCTTCTAACTGCTGTATTATGACAAACCCAGCTACAGAGCTCAGCCTAAAGCTGAGCCCTACACAAAGCTAAATGCATATTCAACCTTCTTTGGTACAAGTTAAACATATTAAGCTTCTTAAGTCTCTTATTGCTACATTCTATCAAAAAAAAGTTCAAATATTACTACTGCCATAAATATGGAAGTAGTAATATTTAAACAATATTCTTTAGTAGTAATATTTAAACATATTCTTTAGCAGTAATATTTAAACATTATTCTTTATATTTTTAGTGCATTTCCACTAAAAATTGAAAGTAGTGTTTAAGTAAATGGAAAGGTTACATTCCAAAGAAAGTAAACAACAAAACAACTTAGACCAGCCAAACAAACCACAAAAAGCCCCAAAATATGTTCAATTTTTAATTTCTACTTCTGGAACAGCAAGCACAAAGCTCTTCCTCACAATTATTAGAAACACTGAGTTTATATAGTTTTGCCACCATTAACTCTTTCCCACTAACTTCTACACAAAAACAAGCATCATCTACTATTATCCATGAGATAAAAGAAGATCCTCAGTGATACTTCACTGAATCTACACTAGGGAATTTCAACTTCCTCTGCTTTTAAATAACTTAAAATTGCAATATCAGCATTACACTCCTAGATGTAGCACATGAGTTCAGCTGCAGATTGAAAGGAAATGCTGTGATACCCATTCCAATTAGTACCTTGCTAGGTGACAAGTGTGATCTAAGCAAGATCTGGACGGATGCTATATAAACCAACACAAAGTAAATGCTTAAAAAGAATTAAAAAAATAATAAAAAAGCCTACTTACCACAGAATTTCTAAGCTTCTCAGGTAAAGGATCTTTTACTTCAGACAGAGGATCTTCAGGGTTTTTGTCTTCAGAATTAGGAAAAAATTTTGATTGCACTAAAGAGCTTAAAAGAAAGACAAAAAAATCCCACTAAAAAGCATGTATTGTTCTATGTGGTTTTATAACAATAACAGTCAGAAGTTCTATTACAAATTGACCACAAAAAATTAATTTTGGCACATCAGTGCTTTCACATAGCTGAGCGAATTTACAGATATTTCAACTTTATAAAAGAATTAGTTCTCTATTGTACAGAATAGTGACTATTAAAGAGCAGTAGCCAGATGTTCTAACTGCAGTTTCTCTAGTAGCAACACAGGAGTAATTGAACAAAACCTGAATTTTAAGTGAAATTTAGCACTCATGAAACAAAACTTCAACTCAAAGTTTTGAGTTGAAAATGTTTTTGAATGAAAATGTTTTAAGTCAAAATGTTTTCCACATTTTGAACAGAAATGTGCAAAATCTGGAAGTAGCCTATTTGGCAATGCCATTTAAAAAATCATGAATTCTTTGGTTTGATTCAACAGCAACAACAAAGGAAACCTATTCTAGCCTGCTTTAATTAATGAATTAGCCACGCTGACCAAACTTCTAAATTCTTAGCAGGCCTTGCTGATAACTGAGGCTCCAAAACCTTACACCAAAGCTTTTAGAAGCCCATGTGCAATGTTACTAGTCTTAACAAGCTGTCTCACAACTTCTCAGTGTGATTTTTCTTACAACACCCTACTTAGTGCAGAAATATTATTTCATTTTATGGACAGAAGATTAGTACAGAATGAGCCCTAGATCTTCAAAGGAAATTACATATTGCAATGTATTACAATGCTTAACTGTACCGCAATCAAACATGACTATCCAGGCTTTAGTTTTTGGAAAGAACAAAAGAACAAGTATCCAGGGAAAAGAACCTCATATCAACTGAACTAAGAGTAACTGGACAAGGTTCAGTAGTCAACCCACAGATAAGAAATTTCCTCTGGTGTAAGTATTCATGAATCATTAGTTTTGTTGTTCACAGAGGAGGTCCTTCACCATCTACCCAAGCCAATATTTATCAAATTCATCCAACATTATGGCTACATTTAAATCCACGTTCAAGCTCTAACTCACCTAGGTATGTGGCTGAGCTTTTATTGGTTATTTGGGCGGGGGGGGGGGGGGGGGGGGGGAGGGGGGAGGGGGGGGTGTTTTACCTACTGGAACTATTTTGTTTTACATGTATCATTATTAACTGAATCAAACACCCTCAGCATCAGATCAGTAGCATTCTCTACTCCAGCAGAGAATAACAGGAATACCTGTTTCCACATGCTATATGGGAATACTCATCACAAAAATATATCCTTATAATTTAGCATAATTATTTGAACAAGTGCTTAAAGCACACATTCAATAGAAGAATACATTAACAAATGAAGTAGAAGTATTCAAGAAGTCCCCCTGGGGCCTTCAGCTTAAACCAGTGCCTTGAGCACCTCTTTAAAGACAATAAAGGTATATGTTATTCCCAACAAACCCAGCAACACAAAGATGGGACCTGACCGACATTTTGGAGAACATCAGCAGGCAATTAAATCAGATTTTGGCATGTAAGCAACTTACCAGAAGTCACAAAAAAGGTCATTGCTAGAGAAGGAACTAGATGCAAAATGTGAGAATTTCTAACTATTGAACCAAGAATATACTACTTTTGATTAGTGCTGGGGAGTACAAGCTCAAACAATACTAAGTAGTAACATTATTTGTAGTTCTTCCTTGCAACTTGCTTCTTCATTAGGGAAGAGATACAAACTAAGTCACTTACAAAAGTACAGAAGGGTCACTGCTTTGTCTGCTGAGATGATATGATATTGCCACTAACAAACCACAAAATATGGAGAAGAGAACTGGAATATGCTGCCCATCCCAGGAATCCTGGAGACAGAAACAAAATCTTAATAAAAAGGAGACAAAGTACACACCACTTTACCTGACGCACAAGAATTATGTGTATCACAGAGAATGGAGAAATTAACTACAACTCCACAAAAATAAGCCAGGCCTTTTTGTACAAAAATATTGTTCCATCTTTACCTATGTCTAACTATAGATCAAGAACTCTAGCACAGTGTACATCCCTCAAATCTACACCATCTTAATCATTAAAAACAGTCATTATTTCTCATAACCCTTATGAAGCATTTCCTGTATTCCTTGAGACCACAGACTATTAAGAGCTGCATTTAGCCACTTCTTAATTTTGAACGTTACATGTATGTTATGAATGTTACATGATTTATTTTTCCTAATGTGCTGGATGCAGATTAAACAGTGGCTTTATTTGTGTTTTATTCGTGCACTGGATCTACAAAGATGAATGAGTTATTCCTTGCTAAAGCTTGTTTGTCTTAAATGGATGTGTTTACCAAAGGCTAATGCGACAAGTGCACAAATTCACAGAAAGCTAATGACGTCCTGCAGGTGAGAGTATCATGGGAATAACCCCTCTAGGAACTTTCTGTGATAAAGTGGAAAAGCCAGCCAACTCTGAATTGGACCCACATGTGCTACAATTCATTGTAAACTGAGCATGTCTGATTATTGACAAACACCTGAAATTAATAAACAGAACCAGCATCACACTCCATACTGTTTACAAACAACATTTCAAGCAAGGAAAAGAGGGTCGGTGTGGGGGAGTGTATGCGTGTTCCTTGGCCAGGTAACTCTTTAATTCTCCCCTTCAGATAGGCAAATATCTTCACTTTGACACTACAAACTATTTCTTGGTTTATTCTCAAATAAATATTAATTAGAAAACACTGTTTCACTTTGGCAGCACCAGAAAAAAATACTTACATGCACCACTTTGAGAGGTTAACATACAACTACATGCAGACTGCTAGAAACAAGTCACCTGCATGATATTTTCAAGAATCGATGTAGAATGGAAATGATGGTAAATGTCATGTGTTTTCAATAAAAAAAGCCCATCAGAGCAGGCACAAATCACACACCTTTTGAAAGCAAAAAAAATTGCTTTGCTCCTGCATTGCATCTCCTCTATTGACTTCACAGCTGAGCAAGAATAAAACCCTCGCAAATCAAACTAATATTTCTAGTTAAGTAGTTGCATACTTTAGTTACTTAATACAGAAGGAAGCAGAGAACAAACCCCAAAACAGATTTACTCTGCATCAAGTTTTTCTCACCTTCAGGGCACCATAGCACAGTCCATACAACAATGCTACTGCCACAATACTACAGATAAAACTGTAAAGTGCTGCAAGCAGGCTTGTGGTAGCTGAATATCAGAGAAATGAAAAGAAAAGAAAAAACATTATTACCATCTGAAGTTAGAATACAAAATACTTCAGTTTGTTTAAGGTATCAGCCCCCTAATTTCCTCTGATGGAAAAAAAAAGGCAATTCAAACCAGAACAGCTACTTTTATTTTCCCCTACAAATAATTTTTATTAAGAGCATTTTATGTGGCTTTTTAAATCTCCCTAGTTATTGAACAGCTTTACCATGGGAATAGTTAACTGCAATAGAAACCAGTTGAGGAAGAAGTGACAGACTTATTAGGACAGTAATTCTATTTCTCAATAATCAATCAGAAGACTTCTAGGCTTTTTAAAAACACAATTAAAGTATTCTATGTTTAGAGGGTAGGAATAAAAATAGTGTAACCACTAAATTTTTAAACTAACATACTGATCTTGGCTGCTCCACATCTCATACTTTTCGCACTGAAAAAACACAACACTCACCATTGCCACCAAAGACATGAATGTCCAGCTGTTCACAGAGATACATCACAAATGTATTCACCTGAGGCAGGAGACCAATGAAGAATACTATAGGGAAACATAGTGTAAACACTACAGAAAAAGAAAAGGTAAAAAAAGTGGTGAATATGAAAAAACAGCATGGTAAGCTATTTTTCAGTTTAAGTTCTATGGTATCACACACCCCATTTTAACTCAACAACACTGAAATATTTCTATTATAAATTTCCAAGGAAAATATACATTATGTAAAGTCCTACTTCAATGGCTCAGAACTGACTCAATACAGAGGTCATACTAATCAATAGTACTTTCCTTTTAATTGCTGTAGACATGGACACAAGCCAATTCAGGCTTTCCATTTTTATTTAGCAAAGATCAGCCAGGAGTGTTTACATATTAGACTTGTAAGTTTGCACCCATTGTAAGTGAGACTTATCCAATGCTAACTGCCTGTCTGGAGTTGCAGGAGCAACCTAACACCAGCCACTCTGACAAAAGGGAGGCCAAGCACCCCACCTCCAGGCTTTCTGCTACTAATAGTATCTGACAATTTTACTCATTTTCCCACACCACTTCTGAACATTCTAATCCTAAATGACTGGGTTTTCTGGTTTTTTAGGTTTTTAAACAAGAACAGACAACTGTAGGAATCATGAAAACACCTGCAAATTACAGGATTTCGAAACACAAAGATAAATTAATGCCACCTAATTTCAATACAGAAAAAGCTTATGTCTCCACCTGTACATATATTTTTTTATCATCCTAAAGAATAAAATATGCAGAAATAATCTTCTACGCATGTTCACATATAGTAGTTCAGATCTAATTCACATATAACAGCATATTGAAAGTTTTAAGTTCCAAGTTCTGAAGGATAGAAGGAATAAATAACAAAAATAACCCTAACAGACACAATCTGGCAGTTTCGGGAGGTTTTTCTACCATCTAATTGACTTGTAGCTCCAGTGACCAAAAGAAGAAACAGACTTTAAAGTATCTTGTAAAGCACCACAAGACTCAAATTTAATTTTCTAATTTTAAATGCACAGAATAGTTGGACACTGAAAGTCATCACATAAGAAATATCTACAGTGAGATAGATAATGAGAACCTGATCTTTTTCTGTACTCCCCAGCAATGCTAAACAACAATATAATTCAAAACATGCAGGTTGCAAGCTGGGGAAAAACACTGAATCCTGTATTTTTAGTGACACTAATTAGGAAATATAGGACTACAGACCAGCTCTTCAATACCTGACAAAAATACTTTATTAGACTTCTCAAGTCAAACCTCTATTTCAAATCATTACTCAAGAAAGCCGACATAGAAGGCAAATACAGTGTTCTGTCACTGACAGGTTAAAAAGTTTTTTCCCAGAAGTCTGTAAGTCAAACTACCTTGGGCCCATTGGAAACAAAATTACTACACAGATCTGGGAATACACAATTTTTAAAGACTAGTCCAACAAAAAGCCAATATTTATGATGCTTTTACAATCTGTAACATCCTAGTTTTCTAACACTGACCAACTAGTTGAAAAGAAAAAATGATCATTATAAATATGGAGTAGATTTAGAGCAATTGATCAAGTGCAGTATGTGGGACACAAAATAAAGCATTTATACTAGTCCTCACTTGTCTGTTGGCAAGGAGAAAGATTTACATTATCTAAATTCAAAGTTCACCTCGCCCTGTTCATATTTCTTCCAGTAGCTTTGCCTGGGCACAGCAAAAAAGGCAGCTGAGATTTTTACCTAACAAAGTATGTTTGCTAGCAGCCAGCCTGGTCTGCAGTACACACAAAGCATTGTGAAACAGTGCTTTAGCAACGTAAGAGCTGCTCCAAGGGCAAGTGTATGACGTGGGGGGTAGGGTGGGATGTGCAATGCGGGTTAGTGGAGTTGGTTTTTTTTTGTTTGGTGTTTTATCATGTTGGTTTTTGGGGTTTTGGTTTGGGTTTTTTATTGTTGAGGGAGTTATGTTCTTTTGGGTTTGTTTTTTTTTAAAGTAGAATAAGCTGTTTTAGTAGTCTGATTTTTTCATTGGAAGAACTTGATAAGAAATATAAACCACATATGCTGCTGCAAGACACCCCGGACAAACAGTAAAATATAAGGATCAAAACCCATTTAGAACTCCTGAACTAAGAAGTTTTAAAAGGTAATGCCAAGATGGACATGGCCTGGTGAAAATGCCACCATATCTTTTAAAACTGGTAAAGACTCACTCTTCAGTACTTTTAAAAAGTTGCTCACTTTCACTGGAGGACACACCAATTTCATGTATATTTATTTATTACCATATGGGGATATGGGTATACACTATGGCAATGACTGACTCCATATGGTAGAAAAGGGAAGAAAATATTTCCAAAACTGACCGAGCATTATCAAGAGAAATTAAGTTAGTTTTGTATCGTGAATGAGTCAAAAGTATCTTCTATCTTCTTGTTTTATTACTGATACAGAATCAAGTATGCCAGTACATGAAGGGAACCAAAGAATTTGTTCAAAAAGCACCTTTGAAAATGTCTGGACAATGTCTGGTCATAAATATGCAGCTTAGACATTTTCCCTCTGGGCATTTGAATCCAGAGTTATTAGCAGAGAAAGTTGAAGGGGGAAGCAGTATGAGGCATAAAATACAGGATGCTCCTATAATCAAGTAATAAGAACTCATACCCAAAATGCTTGAGTCAGTAATTTTTATTAATAAATTAAAATTTTTAAAAACCCACGCTGAGACCAAGTTTTCATTTTTCTTGGACAGAAGATGGTCTGGGGGCACGCAGACAACATTTAACTGTTGTAGTCTTTCACAAACAGGTATTTTGATATAACTGAAAAGCAACTGCATTCAGTTTAGATGAATTCTTACACATTTTCTTACTCCACCCGAAGTAGGGATCCATAGAAGATCACCCAAATAACTTTGCTCCATTAAAGCACTGCACAATGTTCCCACGATAAGATGGTCTTCAAATGTTTATGTCTCTCTCTCCTTTCTATGGGCTCTGTTTGAGACTACAGGGCTGTTATTATTTTCATAACAGGGGAAAGGGTTGTTGTTTTGGGGTTTACATTGTTTGTTTTTTTGCATTAGGTTTAGGGGGGTAATGGAGTTAAATGTTATCAGTATTCTGAATGCACTGCGCTGCTCAGAAAACAATGAGATCACCTCAAAATGGAAAAGCAGCTAAAAAATTGTATTTTTGGTATTGCTGATAGGACTGTTACGAGAAGAAGCACATTAAATAAGACTTAAACTGTCTATAATGTTTTTTAAAATTCCTTCTGTACTGTTCTGCCCAATTGCTAAATACAAATAACCTAAGAGAACTCCTACTCATTTGCCACAAGCCCCTCCAGAAAGTGTGAAAGAGTCCAAATCAAAATATTTTTTTAACTACCGAGCAGCTAGGTCCTAGCAAAGGGTAGAGTATGCAGGTCCAAGTCAGATAAGCAAGTTCAAGGATAAGGGCTAAGATATTAGATAATGAAAAATTTTAGTAGAGGGCATATCTGCCATTTGTTACAGCAAAGCTACAGAAGGGGTAAACGTTCCCCTAAAGTTCTACTGTTGTAAAGCAAACAATTCAAATCCATGAAAAAGCCACTCACCTATAACTAAGTCCCTGGCTGACAGCAGCAGCAATGGGTTGGTGAAAGCCATTCCATACAACCTGAACCTTGTTGTAGATATGTTTCTGCTGCCATAATCCAACAACCAAATCAGACCACAACACAAACAGAAATATACAGGCCTACTATAGGCTATGATACGATTGTGACCCTGTTTAAAAAGAAACCACAAAAACACCAATATTTGTTCATTATTAGTGGATAAAGTAACTTTTACTCTTCTGCTACAGATACCTTCAGAATCAAAATTAATCACTGGTCATCAACTAATATACTGTGACTTCATCATATTTTAAAGTTTTCTTCATAAAATCCTTAAAGCATTGCCTTGCAGCGATACCAGTCTGTGCTTTTTGTGGCTTTGATATAACAAAGACACAACAGTTAGATTAAGTTAGACTAAGCTAGGTAAACCCTTAGTCTCAGCTATATTTTATGCTATGTTGCTTGCAGTACTAAATGCTAGAGAAGCTCTGACTAGGCATGGTAAGCAACTGAGAATCAATTTTAAGGAAAAAGGGATTAAATTTATTGCTTAGATACTGCTTCTGCTGCATGGGGCGACAGAATCTCTATCGGTATTTATCAAAATACAACTTCATACACAAAATTAATGATTCGCTGTAGAGAAATAATGCTTTTAAACATCTTATCTAGGACATAAAGGTAATATTTTGTCTTGGCAATCTAGCAGATGCACAACAGAACATAAACATATTGTGCAATACTAGAATGTTAACATTTCCATGCTCAAACATTAATGTTCACTAGAGCATTGCCAACTCAGCTTATTAGAGTGAAAAAATAAAGCAGTGTGCACACTAGGACACTGAATGAGCTACACCTCTAAAACAGAACATCAAAGATGTGTCAGATCATACCAGCAGAGCAAATTACAACATTAATAATACTTCTCAGTATAATTGCTAGAATAATAAAGACTCTTCAAAAACCTTATTATGACATGGCTCCCGAGCATAAGCTAGGCTCAGGAAGGAGGACATGATTTGCTAAATACAAAGAGTAAGGCAGGTCCCTTCTCACACACTAAGACAACTACAAGCCTTTTGTGCCTTGTAAGAAGGAACATAGGAGAAATGCCAGAAAAATCAAACCAAAATGATCAATTCTCTGCGGGAGTTCTGCATCTGCAGGGTTAGTACAGTGGCACATGCCCATGACTTACATGTCGGGGGGAAGAAGAATCTGGCTGAACACTCTGAAACCAAAATAAAAAGAGGAAAGTTACCCAACTACAGATAAGTGTGTTCACCTACACACATCCTCTTGCTTGAACTTCTTTTAACAATATCTACAATTAATTGTACAATTGTACATTGCCAAACTACATCATAGCCTTTAAATAGCACGATGTTGTAAACCATTAAATCTACTTAAAGAGTAGATGTCTATAACCAAAATTAAAAAAAAAATCCCCAAGTCTCTTATTTTTAGGACTTCTACTGTTTTTCAACACCATTAGGAACTGTAATTTTAAATCTAATTTCCATCCTAATAGTCAAATCAAAAAATAATCAATCATTCTTAGATTACAGTAAACCATTATTAGTCTAACAAAAATTAATTATCTGATTAAAAATATGTTTAAATCTAACAGCTTCCTATAAATGCTCTGAGTTGTAGACACTACAGAAAATTAAAACCTAAACCAATAAAACTTCAACTTCAATTTGTAGTTGGTTTTCAACATGTAAGAATGTGCTCCTCTTCACACACCAAAAAAATGCATGAGAACAATAAATAAAGGATTGTTCAACAAGCATATGTAGAACCATTCTAGTGATGTGACCTTGCATTACCATCTATCAAACTTCCCATGAGGCCAAGTTTACTCATTACTTTATAAATGATAAGCATGCACATTTTTCCTTAAAGCCCTAACTAACCTGCAACACCCAACTGGATTTATATCTATTGTTTTCAGAAAGTAAAGAGAAATTCAAGTACCTTCAACAGTGAGTACTGGCAACTGGCTATTACCAGGCAAAACTGGAAGACCCAAATATCCTTGAAAAAGCCCTCTATAAGAAGTACAGAGCCCAGAAATGCAACTAGAATAGCTAGGATGACAGCTAATACATTTTCAAGGATCTCACGATTCCTGTTTTAAAGGGAGAGAAAAAAAGAAAAAAAAAAAGGAATTTAAAGCTAACTATGTCTAGAAAAATCTGCAAAAGAGCAGTCAGAGTCAAAAATTAACAGGGGTTATGATACTGGTAGCAAAGTAGTTAAGAATAAATTTGAACTTCCATACTCTACTAGCACAATGTCCTTTAGCAAAGCTAGGAGCTACCAAGATTTCAATGACAGCTGAAAGTAGTTATTATCTTAGTATCTTAGGGAATTTTACTTTAAACAGCAGAAGATAACTTCAGAAGATAATTTTAGAAATAAATCAAATGTTCCACCAGAAGCACGGTCTGTAACGTAAATCTATATTCAAACCCCATCCAAGATGATGATAAGCCTAAGAAAAAACACAAGTATGATAACTTACCTGTGTATATAATCTGTCATTCATGATTTTCTAATGATGAAACTAAAAATACTCTTGCTTGAGTAAGATATGCCAAGTGGAATACAGATAATTCCCTATGATATTGCTAGTGCTTCGGAACAGAGTTATGAGTATTCCTTCCTGGACAGAATCACTACTATCCTGTTTATTTCAAGGAGGTTCATTACCAAAATATAAATACTCTACATATTCCAAAAGCTGGTAACTGGAGGATCAATTTCATTTTATTCCTCTAGGTAAATGTACAGGGACAAGAAGTCACAGTATTAAACGACTCTTGGAAAAAATGCTCTGGAACAGCAGGCAAATTCTTTCTGTTTACCAAAAGACTAAGTGCATGCCAGGTTGTAGACTCTTTAATTAATTTTTGGAGAAGGCTATATTCTAGCTTAAAAGATTGGCAATGAATCTTTCTATTTGATCCTTCAAATACATTATTGCTCCACACAGGTAAAGTGGGGGTTGCTTTCCTTTTTCCTTTTTTGATTGCTACAGAAGAAAATGAGAGTAGCCTCCATTATTTTAGAAAAACTACATTCAGTATTATTCTTTCATATTCCAGAGTACAGTAAGTAAGTATAATTCTCTAACAATAGTTTTATCTATATTACAGTTTAGTAACTGTTTTCATCTTGCTTTCTAAGGTCTGGCAACATACAAGGATCTCACCTATCAAATAAAGCCAGAAGAGTTAATCTATCAAAATTGATGCTAATCCAAAGTTTAGGCAGGATCCAAAAGCGATAGTACTGCTTGACTTTTTGAGCTGCTTCTTCTTGAGGCTGCATGTGGTCCTGAAGGTCAGGGCTCAGGTCAATATCTTGCTGCTCCAACAGATCTGTATCCATTGTTAGCAGCCTGTTCAACCTGATCTGAGGAAGAGAAAGCTAAAAGAAAGTTAGTATTAACAAAAACTCCTTTATATCAAATCACTGTATATATACTGAAAATTGCTTTGAAGAATATTGCTGGAACTCTTAGTTTCACTTTCGAGGAATTACATGTTAAGCACTGTCACAGGCTTCTACTTACTTTTTCTGTCCTTATCACAGCACATGAATAGGACTAGCAGCAAAAACAGTTTGCATACAACAACTCTTTGGCATTTCAGCATATGCCTTATTTCAAATGAATGCATCTTCCAAGCACTTTATCCCATTTACTCTGAAAACTTCAAATTTGAAGACAAGTAAACTGATACATGGACAACAAACATGACAAAAATAATCCAATTGTTAATTTAAATAAATTACAACACATTTCTTACAGTCAGCTAATCTGCAGGTAGACCCATGCTGAATGGTTCTTTTTGCATGACAATGCAACATACTCATGCACCAGCAGTCAAATTCAAACTCACTGAATCCAGAATAGACTCAGAAATGAACCAAAGAAAAAGCTCTGTCCTAAACAGTCAAGTACTATTTACGACTATTACTTATTTTGTAGTTTGTTTAGAGTTCTCATGAAAATCACAGTAATACTAACAACCATGAAAGATACTAAAGAGAGTACTCAATGCTAATAAGACACTATAGTACATATTGTAGAGTCTAATCCAGTTTCTAACAGGCCAAGAAACATCTTGATGTACTGCCCTTTATTCTTAGGCATTCTAATTGTTAAAATGTTCTTTATTGAAAAAGCTTCACAATGCGTAAGGCAGAGTAAAACTTCAATACTCATGCCACCTTCAAGTGTCAAAACTACAGGTTTAATGTTTAGAGGGGCTTTTTCCCTACAATCATCTAAGTTTAACATTCAATATCTTGATTTATAAAATTTTTGTCATCACTCCTTAAATCATCAGTGTACTTAACTATGCTTAGCCAGCTTCTCCTTCCTAGAAAAACACTAATGAAAAAACAAGCAGGAATACTCCCTTTCTAAAGGCATTTAAAAAACACAAACCATACTATTTAAGGCAAGCTGTGTCAAAACAGATCCTTTTTCAACAATTTTTTAAAAGCTTCGTTTCTTAAGAGATAGAATCAGCATAACATTCATGGCACTAATAATAAATTTCAGTGGAAAATTCCCTTTAGGTGCATGGGCTGAGCTTCTACAGTCACAAATTTGCCTTAAAACAGAATCATTCCCTCCAACGGCACTATGCTGGCAAACCAAAAAGCATAGAAGAGGTAATGCAGCCTTTTTTCTAAAGGCTACATGTTTGAGGGGGACTGTGAAAAGCAAAGCAAGTTTCTCTAGCAGACACCAAGTTTAAAAAGCACATTCTTGATCAAAAGCATGGTCAGGCAAATGGAGGTCTCTTGCTCCTCTGCCAAATCCTAAAGCTGTATTTCATTTTCCCTCTTGATTATATATTAGGTACTTCAACATACCTCTCTTTGGTTTGCCAGCTTAAGAATCATGCCCATTTGCACTGTTGTCAGAACATATATTGACTTCAGAATTAAAAGTACAGGTATGCCTGGACTTGACAATAGTGCAAAAGCTTCCAAATCATAAAACTAAGGAATTATAAAGCTATTTGCAGTATGAAACAGTGTAAGCTTCTGCCTTGTTTTGCCAGCCACTTCCCACATACAAATTTATATTTTGTACATCAGACTCCAATGACAGATTTCTAAATTCCTTTCAGGGAAATTACTCAAGTGAAGTTTCTTTTGGTCAAAATACAATATTTAGTCTTTCTGCTGCCTGCTAACCTCAATAATGCACAGAAAGAAAACTGTCTAAATTGTACACATCTTTGGAAACTTTTACAAGGTATCTTAGAATAATTTCTATGAGTGTTTTTAAATCACTAGTTTTTAGATCAGAGGAAACCAACTAAGTTTAAAAGTGCTATGCAGGAAGATTAATTTCTATGTAATATATGAAGGCACTACAATACTAAATACTTTCTCTTCATTAATCCAGACAAAATTCTTTCATAAGAACAGTGAACTACCACACAGAATGATTAATCAGTGCTATAAAGCTGGATAGTCCTCTGATTCTTTGCATGCTTTAAAAATAAGTAAGAAAAACTTACTAGATCATGTGGATAAAAGCGAACTGAGGTAGAACTCGATACGTGAGAGTCCGTGTCACTATAAGAACAGGGAAAATACTTCAGATTATAAACTACATTTTATTTCATCAGGTCACTCTAATTTTCTAGTGTCCCAAATTAATTTTGATACCTTTTGAATTTTATCTAAAGATCTTTAAGTTTTTCTTTCAGTCACTTATTATAAATACAAGTAGCCACTTAGTCTCATGTATTGTGGTACATTCCACAGCTATAGTAAGCCAGGAGACTCTTTATTCTTACACTTAACGTATTCTCAACACCCACTCCCTAAATCATCTTAAAAAACCCCTACAATGATAGCCATTATTCCACTTGAAAAACAGAAATTTTATAAGGTGTTAGCTACTGATTCGTAAAGATACATCAATCACATCTCTAAAGAAGTTCAGAGGCCTCTAGTTGTTCACATGCAGTTTCTCATAATTCTATACTGTTTTTATCAATATCCCAAGACTGCCAAATATAGCACATACTTAGCACAAGTAAAGTGAGCTACTTAAACTGCTTTTTAAAAACTTAAACCTCTGGTAAGAAGAGCAAAATTACTTTGCAATTTCCATTCATTAGAGATGAAATTTCTCTTACTGTATGAGAGTCCATATCCAACCATTGCTTTTTTCCCCAATTTTGGATAGCTTTTGGATGTTTGTTTTCCATGTAAATCACATGGTTGTAAGACTTGTATCAAATTTATGCAACTTTCCTTCAGTTCCTTGCCTTAAGATAAAAACATTCTTTGTTATCAACTTTACTTCACTCAAACTCAGGTATTCTCTACAGCCGAGATCTGATTATCTGAAATGGCCAGTTTGTTCCTTCCATTAGCACATTCAACTTCATAACAGCAGCCATCAGCAAAGCCATTGCATCTGGAACATGCAAGCAGTAGAGGCAGAGATTGGCAGCTTTGTGGAAGGAATCCAGAACTTTTTGTCAAAGTTCAATTCTACAAAAGGCACTTGCATACTCTCACAAGATTTGAAGATGGAATCTTTTATATTCCTTACTCCATAATTCCAAGAGCTATTCCACGTACGTGTGGTAGGAATTACAGCATTCAGCATGGTGCAATAGCTTCAGAGCAATTCTACACAGTGAGGTGGATTGGGGGCAGGTGGGAAGGCAAAGGAGGTTTTGGGTTGCTTTTCTTTCTTCTGCCTCCTATCCCTTCAGAGAAAGAAAGGACATCTTTCTAACAGCAGATGAACTTTCCAGTATGTAGCTGGCTATTTCAGCTGCAAGTCAAATTTTAATCTCAGGCATGTTAACACTTCCATTTACTGTCTGATGCCATCCATGAACTTGAGAATAAATTTATCAGTTTACAACAGCTTCACAGCTGGAAGTTCCATAGCCATTATGGTCAACAGCTACCTAGCTTTCTCAAAAATGGCTTAAATTCTTTAACAAAGACTTTCTATAAGCCAACAAAAAATGCATTTGTCAAGTTCTCAGTTTGGAAGTATACTGGTTAAGCTAGTAGTAGTACTCATTTTCTGAGATAAATATTTAACTTAATGTTATCTTCTAGTAAAAATCACTTGAATCACAAAAGTAAAAGTATATGGTTAATAGATTGAATTGATTTTTTTGGTAGTCCATACTAAATAACCTTTTAAAATTAAAATAAAATATTGGATTGCAGTAAGACAAGAATCATCACTCTTGACTGGCCTTCACACACACCAGATGTTGGATGCTCTTCTTGCAGCTGGCTCAAAGTTCACAAGCGACATGTCGCAGCCCCCTGTCTCGTAGAGCGTAGAACTGAACTTACCTATTAAAGAAAAGGTCAAAAGCAGGTCAAAATTTCCTCATGTTTCACCCCATTGGCAGCAGCTTCTATTCATTAACTTACTACAGAGATCAATTCAGACATCTAAATTTACATCAGTGTCAAAATACAAAATGTGATTACTCATTAATGTGCCACCAGGGCAGCTACGCAGCTGTCTTTCGTACCATTTTACATAACATATATACTGTAACTGCAGTACTGAATTAAAGAGTTTGTATTTACAAGATGCCATCATTAACACAACAGAAGGACAGTGTAAGCCTCTTTTTCCTCTTAGAGACTAACCACATGAAAAATTCGCAGTGCCCAGCTTCTTCAGTCCTTCCCACGCCCAAGAGAACCATCAGTAAATCATTCACTATCAGCATCTAAGAACATTTAGCTACAGCAGTGATAACACAAGTATCCTGAATAAAATTCTTTTGAAACACCCACGTCTATTTGAAAAGAAACACAGATACTCAAAGAAGTGGCCAGAGATGCTTCATAACTTAACTTAGGAAACTCAAAAAAGGAATGTGCAGAAGAGATTTATTCTACAAGCTAGTGTAAGAAGAAAGGACTGCAAACTAACTTCTTAGATAAACTATTTGGACTTCTCAAATATTTAATTTTAAAAAGTAGCCAAAGATTGTAACTCAAATGATAAATTACCTTACTCAAATGATAAATTACCTTACTCAAATATGTTTTCACAGCACCCACCTCCCAACACTGGCCTGATCAGAGAGATAAGCATTGTAATTTTCCCTGAAAGCCAGGTTCAATATATTTCAGCTCTGAATGCCGGGAACCTGATTTTGAAACTGATCTCATATGAAATATCTGCCAATTTCTCCACCTCTTCTAGCTTAAAACCCTCAAGTCATGATGCAAAACATGCAATATTCCAATATTAGCTCATATAAACAAAAGAAAAAAATCCCACTTGGGAGCATGTGAAGAAAAACTGTATACATCTCTCAGCTGTACGTCTTGCAACTTTTCCTTCTGCTGATACAAGATACCAAGCAGTCCCCAGAAGTCCCTAACAAAATCAGAGCTTCCAATCTTTCCCACTTCTGTGAAAGCACAACCTGCGAATACCATGGATTTTGAATGTTTTTTTAACACAATATAATCCTGCAGCAGCTTCTCTTCAGACCCACAGACATTTAAGTTTGATTCGGAATTTGAATCTTAGCAGGTTAAATCCCTCAAGCTAGATGCTTAAAACCAGTGAAACAAAGAAAAAGAACTGGTATATTGAAAACATCTTCATAAAGCTTTCTACCCTCAGAAGGAGCACTTCAGACCAACCAGGGAAATACCACAGCTGTGCTCAGAGCCACCATTGTGACAAGACAGTCCCCTACATAGCTCAGGAGGCACAAACAGCATGCACAACAGCTCTCTCCTGATACTCAATTACATCTGGCACAGGCCTAAGTACAAAGCTCACTTGTTAGAGCTTTTTCCTCATTGGATAAGATTTTAATGAAGTGCTTTAGCTGATTATCTTTTGGTTTTCAATGCAGTGTGTAGTACACAGTTAATACTGAAGCTTATAATTTAAACTAGTAGATAACACGGGTAATCTTCCCACAACTAATAAAAAACCTTGGTTACAAAGGTATATTTATTAACTCTGTCAATAAAAAAGTTTCAGGAGCAAACATGGAGATACTGGACAATACAAATACACTTCAGGTTCTACTCAGGACAAAAATGTGCATTAATTAGTATAGAAAAATTGGGGCAAGCAGCCCTTAAAAAAAATGGAAGTTTGGGTTAAATTCTTCATGGTCTTACATTACCGAATAGAGATCCAGGAAATTAAACTTTTTAATTTTTAACTTAATGAAATTCTAGTCACAGAAGTTAGAATATACTACTTGGACATACAACTTCCCTTTCTCTTGGACTGAGGAAAACACATCAGGCATTTATTTCAGCGGAAGTTTACTGAACTATTATACTTTTTCATATCTACAGTTCTCTCTCACCCAACTTATCTGTGAATCTACTAAAATTTGCAGCATTTATATTGCTGCTGTAAGTATTGCGCTGCTGCAGTGGGATATAACAAAACTGATTTACAGAGGTTGCAAACAAACAGAACACTTAATTCCTATTGCTTATACACAAACTACAAAATGGACTCAGGATATGTCATGCTTGCAATTCATCCACCTATTTAAAGAGGTTTCAATTCAAAGTTAGCTCCCTGGCAAGCACAGCTTCTCATTAATACAAAAATTTTTCCACCCCCTTTTTTGTTTTTCTTTTGCTGTTTTTGATTTGCTTTGGTTTTGTTATTGTCATTCTGTTGGGTTTTTTTGGTTGCTTGGTTTAAATAAAAAGATTTTTCAGAAAAGCCTCAACTCATCTCAGTAGAAAACTTGACAGGGACTGTTCATTGCTATTGGTGACACAAACTCAAAGTCTGACTGGAGATAATAAAATAGGCTCCAAAATCCTTAATTTTTAAACTCTCTGAGACAGGAACAGCTTCTTCACAGTACATAAATTCTAATGAAGAACTTCAATACTCAAGATTCAATACATATGGACATACCTAGCATTTTTATTTACTCTAGTGACTCTTTCCCATTCCTGTCTCCCACAGCATTCTCCATGGGATACTTGGAACAGCACCACATTGAATAAGCTTAAGAACATATTTTCTCTCTCTAAAGCCTGCAGTTTTATCAAGCTGTGAACAAACAGGAAGCTCCAAAGATAATGTTACAAATCAAGAAATATGATCAATAGCATGTCTGCCTGCTCAACATAAATGTCTAACTTCTCTGCACACAAACACACACAAAAAAGAGACCTGTAAGTTCTTAACAAATTAAAGTCACCCAAAAATATTCTATTTCGACCAGGTTACAATAACAAACCAAGACACTGTGATACTCAAGCACACAAATCCAAAATACATCTTCATTCTGACATGGAGAGAAGATAAATTTGTGTTCTTTGAAGCAAGTTTCCTTGTTCCAAAAGACCAAAATATCAATATCCAGAGACAACCATGTAACAGTTCACACTGTACAAACTCATATTCCCACAGTTATGGGCATCAACAGACAACAGCAACAGGCTGATGAGCTTACACAGACAAAACCTGGAATACTTAAGTGGCTCAGGATTTAACTAAAATGTTGCTCTGATGGTTTCCTCAGCTAAGTTATCTCCAGTGTGCTTCCCAGTTTTACATCCAATATGTACTAGATTTTTCAAACTGCTCAGACTAGTTCACATGCAAATGCTCACTGACATGATGAAATTACATCATCATTAGATCAAGATATATTTGTCTACTGCTTCAGTCAGTATTTTTAAAATCCTAGTTAGCAAAAGCAAAGTCATCAGAATTTGACTTCTTGGTAGACTGCTAGGAGCTTTATTTCCAAAGGTCAAAATTAGCTATGGTATGAAGGCATCCATGTTTTCAGTTAGAACACTTCAAAGTAGGTCATTTTTTGTTCCTATATGAAGTTTGTCAAAAGAGTAACTTACCTATTACCCCAAATTCCAGATTACAACATGAATATTTTCCATAGCAATAACGGGAAGTGAATATGTATTTTCCATATGAACCTTTGAACATGCTCACACATCCATCACAAATAAATCACATCTATTGAATTATCAAAAGGTACTGACTGCTTCTAAATTGGTATTAATCAAATAAGTAACCAGTGTATATGTCTATCTTTACATAGAAATTTTGATGTTCAAAACCATTCAACTGCCTTCATAAATTAAAATATTTAAATCTGAAAGATTATTGGTTGTTGTATAGACAAAACAACCAGAGATCCACCATACCACCATAATTGTCTTGTAAAGCTCTAGATGAGCAGTTCTCTTTAAGCACAAAAGCAATTTTAAAAAATCATCTAGCCAAGGACAAGAGTCTGTTATTTCACCCCAGCTTCAAACACTGGGCATCTGTTCTACTAACTCAGTACTTGGATTTGTAACTACTTGACAAAATCTAATTTTAATTTAATCAATCTTCACTGCAAGGGCCAAAAAATCCCACCTACCTGTCTAAACAATCAGCTATCAGAACAAAAAGAATCAGTACTGCCACACTCTGATCTGAAAACTGTCATTTACTTAAGTCATGGCACATGTTTTGTTGCTTTTGAGATTTGTATTATATTAATCCTCCCTATAATCATGGCATTTAGTTTGCCACCTTTCCTTTCCATCCTGCATTCCTTCTATGATTTACTTCATGTTTACCACTCCACATCAAGATACTCTTCCATCCTTTCAAGTTCCTTTCCCCCTCAAGCTTCCTAACAGTATAACTGATAAAAATCTTCCTACTTTGAACCTGGAAGACTGAAGATAATGCCTTAAAGCATCTCTTGCCTTACTCTCAGGGCAGTGCCCAGTTAAAGATAACTATATAATCACCAGACTGGGTGTGGGTCAGGTATAATACAGTGAGGCTCATCCAGTGAGGCTTGGTAAAATAAGCCACCAGAATCAAATTATAAGACAAGAAACTTTAAAGTAAACAAAACCAAAAATTGTGTGTCTTGTTAAGTGCTGCATCTTGACATCAAAGTGAATAGAAAAAATGTAGAAATAGATAGTGCACTGGTAAAGGAAAACATGAGCCCAATATGTGAGGCTTTTACAGTAAATGAATACGTGCCCTGTTTGCCTTTCCAAGAGGATTTGAATTAAGAAAATAAACTATTCTATGCACTGTACAGTGATATACAACCCCACCTATGTTTGTCACTGATATTTCTAGTTGGAATAAACCAGGATTTGTTTCCAGGTATTTCCCCAGCCACTATGGGTTTTTTTGCCCTGGGCAGTCACAATGATTTCCACAGCAACAAAGAACTGGTCATAGCTCCTTCATTGCTTTTATTTTTATTCTGATGCTGATCATGGGAAAATCAAACTACAACCTTCTCCCAACCCAAACCACAGACAAACTACAGAGTCATCTTTCACTGTAAGGTATTTTGGGATAACACAGCAAAACCAAGAGCCTTAGACTCAATGGAAAGAGAAAAATAGTGTTACTTCATCCCTGACTGAGGGTTAAAAGAAAAACACAACCCAACAAAAGCGCCCAAACAAACTAACCACATACCACTTATAAGGAAAGATACTTTCTTGTCAGACCTGATAAAGGGATCATACACACGAAAGCTTGCACCATTTTGCCAACTATTTTACAATTAACAAAAGATAGCACCTGTTCCACAAAACCTGCTACACAAACTAGAAAATTTTATTTTCCTAAAATAACACAAGAAGATCCTGCCTATAATAGCTCCTTTCTCTCAAAGGATTCTAAACTAGATGCTCAGAGTCTCAAAACAGGAAACAAGTCCCTGTTATACATCAGATTCCTATCTAGCAGATCCCAGAAGTTTTGTGCCTCCCAAAGAGAACGTGATGTCCCATATAAGCACAGTACAGGTAAAGTTTAGAAGAATTGAATCTCATTAATTTCTGAAGACTCCAATGCACAAAAAATACAATGAATATGCCTTTCTACAGATTCTAAATGCCATGTTGAATTTTATATATGATCTCCTTTGATTTCTGAAAGAGCAAATAATACAATCTCCTAAATAACACAGACCTAGACTGCATATTAAATGACAAATTCTACAGAACTCAACCGTACTGTTTTGGGTAAGAGGAACAAAATCCTTCAAATACATAATGGTGGCCTCAAGAATATAGCTCAACATTACACTTGGACAGAAATAACCAGTATAACAATTTCAGAGTTATATTTTAAATATGAAAGAAGAGTCCAAATTAAATTAAAAAATGGGCTTCATGTAACAAGTTTTCATAGCTGAGAGACACAAGCACTGAGACTGAAACAATAAGACTTCTATCTAAAAAACAGTAAAGCAACAGAATCTTCAACAAAAATTATTAGATAACTAGATCATGTGTATTTATTACATTTGTAGTTAGGTCTTATAAAACATCTCAGAGTAGGTAAAGGTGACTTTCAGTTTTGCTTCTATTCCATTTTTCCTGCACTAGATGATGCAGAAGAATGAAGACTCAGTCAAACTCACATTTAAAGGGTTACCACAGACTGTCAATTCATGGAGTCTTCCCCTCTAGTGGGGTAAGAGACAACTCAGTTATCTTTTAGTCCTGGATTACACAAAGGTCTGAAACACACGTTTGGTCAGTGTTCTGATCAAACCTGTACTTTGAGGGTATTAGAGCTGACAGCTGCTCAAAATTCCATCACTAATAATTGTCAGTGCTCAAGATGCCAATTTTAATAATTCAAAGAAGAGTTAGGTATTAATGATGACGTCATAAGTAATTCAGGCCATGTATAGATAGGTGCAAAGATCCCTGCCAGGAATTTTTCCAAACTGGCCCCTGCACTATGTGGCAGATCAGTCATTTATTAAGACTGTCTTAACTTCATCCTAGCAATTTTATTAGCTGCATAGAAGTTAATTAAGAAGTCAATAATCAAGAATACCACATAAAATGGACCATGAAGAACTAAGAAGACACTATAAAGCTCCATAAAATGATGACATTTGATATATGAAAGAGTCCAGATTTATTTCCAATACCAAGCTCCTAAATTAAGGTGTACATTCAAAACAAAGCATTCATTTACATAAGTATTTCTTTTTTTTGAACAGCAGGTAAACAACTTATCTAAAAAAGGAAAGATCAAGAATTCTTAGGAGCCATAACAAGTTGGTTTTTTTCAGGAACCAGAAGATCCCCAAAGTCTCCATTTCTGCTCAACTGCCTGCTGGACCATAGGAAAGATTTATTACTTGTGTTACATTATTCAAATCAAGAAAGCTCTCACACCATCATTACTTGTATCTATGACTCCTTATTTCTTATCACACATTTGTTAGAGAAACTGCCTGGAAAGGTGATTGAGCAATATAGCTCAATATAGCTCAATGAAGCAAAATAGCTCTTAGTTCTTCCTAGAAACACACCTATAAGATTCAGAAACAATGCTCAGATTAGCTGGTTTTCAGTGCATTATTACCAAAAAATCTGCTGTATTAACACTTCCATGTCACCAAGGTTACATAAGGCCTGCATACCAAGTTCATCGTGCAAACTGCTACCGCCTACAGCAGATGCAGTGGCATGTGATGCTTCTAAGTGGACACTCCCATTTCTCACCAGCAAGGAGGCGCTAGCGCCGGGCACAGCTGCCTGGGAAGGGGGGCAGGACTGCACTCTGACCTGGGAGGAGCACTGCTGGCCTTGCTGACCATCTTGAAGGCTACGAGAAAACACGCATTGGGGACACATTACCAGGAAGAAGTGCAAAAGAGCCAGAAGTGAAGCAAAACAAGATTTTTCAGTTTAAAGAGGAAATCTTTTTTTTTAAATAGTAGCATTAAGCAGTCAACAATTAGGGTTAAAATAACTCCTACATTCTATGTAACAGTATTTAGGCCCTAGTTGAGGCAGTAATCTAGAGATAGTGCTCCTGTCAACTTCTTAGAAGTAGTATTGCTTTCTAAGATCTCCCCAAGTCACCCAACAGGTATTTTCTTCTGTGTCTTAATTTGTGGGTGCAAAAGCAAATTAGTGCCAGTTAGTTTAACTACAGGCTAACCTGAGCTATCACCTATATTTACTACTGACTATTCCAGTCTTCTCACAATAATTTTTTGCTTATTCAAGTATGACCTGAGCAGCTGTTTAGGACTTTTTTCTTAGTCATATTACCTTTCTTATTATTAATTCACACTAACTAGAAAACGTCTTTAAGCTTTGTTAATAGCCAAAGGATAATACAGACCTTGAAAATTACTGAAGTAATACATTTGGATCCAGAATTATTTTGAACATATTAAGACTCTCTATATAAAGTTATTAATGGCAAAACTAAAGTTGATTCTGAAGTTATTTTGAAGTTACAGCAAAAGCTTTATTACTCACCAAAACAAAGGTTTTAAAAGCCAACCTGGCTCTCAGAGAAATTTGTACATTTCTCATAGCCATGAGCAGACAACGTTTAAAAATGTTAATTCTCCTCTTCACAGACTTCAATTGCAAAATTAACTTTATAAAACTATTTGCAAAAGTTAGATTGTTTTAATAGCTTGTTTAATATCAGGTATGACAGTGTCAGAGTACATTATGTTTACAGTTGATACCACACCATCTTTGCAAGAGCACTGGTTTTATTATCCTTCATTTTGTGGATTTAAAGAAGTTACAGTAGCTGAGGCACTATCTTAGACTTTGTATTTTAAAGATTGGAAAATAGTTTAAACACTCTCTTTTGAAAAACAATATATATCACCTGTTGGTTTTAGCACTATTTACAGCATGATGCTAGAGTTGGCAAATGAGGCAACTAAAAAAAACAAGATCTTACTAAGAGTTGAAGGGTTATATCTGATGTACTTGCTTTTAACAGTATTTTCTACATCATCTATTTTTCAGTTCTTTTGTTAGAGCATCACTGGAAAACAAAATACGGATATAAGAATAGATGTTAAGAAAAGCTCATGCAAAATAATGCAGACATGCACACAGCTCAGGAAGAAAAGAACTGCAACTCATTATTTACTGTGTTCTAACATTTTAACCTGAAATTTAAATTCAGTGTTTTGCTGCAGTACACAAGGCTTTCAGTGAGCTGTGCAGCAAGAGAAGCCCTAAGGAAGTTCACGGATGTGCCAACTTTCACTGCCTTCCTTAAGCAACACCAAACTAATGCTAAACAATACTGCTTTCCCATAAACAGCAGGTACATCTCAAGAGACAGCTGCCCTTTGAATAGTTATCCACATCTGTCACAATTTAAAAATCCCATCAAAGTATCGATGTCAACCAACTGCAAAAAAACCCCGGCTTATTCTCTCTCTGATTATTACAAGAGTAAAATTCTGCTTCATACAGTCACTTACACACATGCATACACCATTGACTACATGGAACACCAGTGAACACTTACTTTTGCAGTGCCCAAAACACTATTGACATTTAGACAGGACAAAAGCAGGGGTGGATGGTGTTTTATGGTGCATTTTGGGTTTGTTTTTTTAGGTTACCAGGCAAAACAATCTTGTGTCTAATTTAGCATCCAACCAACAGAGTTTACTAGACCTGGTATACTAGGTTTAACTTGTCTACCATTGCCAAAGACACACATACATAATGCCATTGTCTCTTTTACTAAATATTTTACAGAGGAAGTGAAAGTAATTGCAATCATGGACAGGAAATTAAAAAAGAAATCAGGTTTAACTCAACAGGTCCTAGGGAACATTCCCCCAACATCCAATTTTATGACAGAGTTAGAAGATTAAAGTTTTGCTGGCAAGAATAAGAAACACATAACATCAGGGCAACTAAAGATTAGTAAATCTAATACTCTTATAAGTTTAATATCTGAAGTCATGGATTAGCAGTATCAGAAACTAAACTGGGGCAGCTCACCAACAGCATACAGGTGTGATGTCAGTACAATTGCAGCGACATTTTGAAGACTTTTAAGTGGTACCTGCCTAAAAATGTCTCTATATTTCTTCACATTTGCTCCTTAGGCATGATTTAATTAAATATTTCTTAAGGGTTTCCTCTTTCCAGTAACACAAAATTTACACTAAAATTAAGCTACCCATGTAAAGGAAAGGGTATTTTTAGACTGTTCACCTTGAAATTAGAACATTAATACATATTTTTTTTCAGATACATTCCACAGTTGACAGCTGAAATGGAATTTGTGTCAAACAAATATAAAAGCACTTTGGTGTTTGGTTAGCAATTTAACTCCACTCCAAGGGACAGTCATTTAGCATCATGAAAAGTACTTTGAGTAAATTACCCTCAATAAGTATTCAATTCTGACTATGTTTATATTATAAAGCATTTTTGATAATGTATGTCATTATGTTAGAGAAAGTACAGTCAGCAGTGTTGGGTGGCTTTTAATTTAAAATAGAACAAATTTAGATAATGAAGATGCTTAGAGGAAATACAAGGCTAGAATGTTTAATCTGCTTTTTTACCCTTGAACATCTTGTCTGATTAAAGAGATACTCCCACTTCACAACATGAAATTCATGATTCACAAAGTTCACAAAGTTACTTCATAGTCTCTCACTGAAGTCAAGCTTAAGCCATGGGAACCTTAATGACTGCACTAGCATGTGGAAATAAGGCTGCTGTCAACCACAGTTTAAAACAGTCTTTCCCTTAGTCTATACCTACAAGAAAGAAAACACTGTTTTCTAACTAATACACAGTTAAGGAGCTTTCATTAGTCTGCACAGCCTCTTATGTTGCAATACACAAAGCTGCACTACCCTCCTTTACAAAAAAAAAAAAAAAAAAAAAAGGAAAACAAACTCAGAGCCAAGTGAAAGCAACCAGATAAAGCAAAACTGATCTGAAAGACAAAGTTTTATCATCCTTCACTGTGAAGTAAATCACTAGCTTGAAGTTGAACACCCTACTTGCAGCAAGACCAAAAGCCTAACAAAGAAAAATCTAGAATTACATGATTACTACTTCATATTGCAATAGCCACTAAAACCACACCTAACTAGTTTCAGTCCTTGATATGACAGAAGTCAATCCTTCATCTGTTAGATTTTAGGTACCATTCTTACACTCCCCCTGCCTGAGAAAAATTTGCAAAAGTAGTTCTCAAATATTTTAGTGGTGTGACAAAGATGGCACAATTCCTCTGTCACCCTCTATTGTAAGGTATTTTCTTTTTATTTGTTCTGTTTCTACAGGTTTTCCTAGTTCAAAAAATTACATAAATGTTCCCAAAACACAATGACAGTTTAGCACATGAAGGAAGATCATTAAGAATATATAAAATATGCAATTACTCCTACATATTTATCATGTAACTGAAGGAAGAATTACTTCAATACTTATAGGGGACTGTTCCTTCTTCTATAGGCCATGTTCTCCTCACCAGATTCTCCAATTCCATAAGCAACCAAGAAATTGAAAGACTTAAAACACATGTTTAAAAACTTATTGTGGCTGCTGTTTCTACTGTTCAGGCTGATGGATCAAACAGAGCTGCTGTATGTAACAAATCACTAGGCTCAGCCTTGTAAATACAGGGGCCAGTAAAGGCTGGGGGACTCCTCAGACACATGTACACAGTACATTTTAAACATTGCCAAGGCATGCAAAGTGCCACACAATTAGATCTTATACTAAGCAATACTGGGCATCCTATTCACTTCAGTATTCCTCTTTTGCTGTAAAAAGATGCAAGATCTTCATAAAGGTTTACCTGTATTTTAGATTTGGAGTCTCTTTTGGAGTATATATTTAGCTCTTTATAAAGTTCTGTCATTTTGCTTATCTCTCACAAGTGTCTACAAATGTGAAAAGTGATCACAGTACTAGTCCCTAATGCCTACATTATTCAAGAGATGAAAACCAAAATGGGGAGTGCTGATATTATTTTCTTGGGTCTCTCTTCTTGATTGAAAGTAAAAGTTTATTAAAATGTTCCAAAAGTTTTTTGATTAAAACCACTGAGGCTAAGTTTATTAGCATTAGTTAATTTTTATATCAATCTGAAAACAGCTGTAACATGTTAGAGACTGACTATCCTGACCATTTTTAAAATAGTGCCACATATACATGCACAATTCAACAAGCCCACAGTGACATGCAGTGACAGCTCAAGGAGGTTATGGTGGGGAAGGAAGTAAAAAGTGCTTTTCTGGCAACACTGGTGGGTGTGGGGAAGTGGTCTGCTGCATGCATGCTAAATATGGTGGAACATTTAGATACCCTACCTGAGGGGTGATCCGATGAGCAATGTAGGAGGGGTAGGGTTACTCCCTGCATTGTGCCGGCGTCGTACTGCCTGACGCCTAAATGTGCTGCGTTCACGGCGAAATGTGACAGTCTCCTCGCTGGCTTGTGCTGCTGCATCAAGACAGACTTTAGGTCAAATACGAACCCATCCTAGTTACGTCAACAGTAACTTAAGACTCCTTTCTTCCCTCTGACCCTCCCCAAGTTAACGAACTTGACTCACAACAACACAAGTAGCTTATGTCCTAACTGTTCAAACAAGCTGCCTCGAGACAGGATCACAACACACAGTTATTAGCAAAGACCTGGGTGGTTGGGGGAGTCATATACAGCTTACGTTTTTTTAACCCCAGATCCAAATAGCTAGGTTGCAAAAGAGGTTGGATATCCCATTCTTTGCCGTTTACGCATGGCAGGAAGAGATGCCCGATCTCCCCATTTATCTCACTGAACAGATCATTAAGGAGAAGCCTGAAGAACTACCTAGCAAAATTGTCTACCACTCCTCACCACAATCTCAATTTTTTAACTTCTGCCAAATAGGCAGGGTTGAGGTCAACCTCATCACAACTCTTTCAGGGGACAAAATGAGTAGCTTTTTTTTCTCATAAGCATCAAGGGATACACGTTGCTCCTTCTACGCTCATTACAATATAATTTACAGAGGCAGGAGGTTGAGAATAAGTAAGAGAATAACTTATTTTTAAGGACTGATGGTTTTGTTATTTCAGGTCCCCAAACAAAAGGTTTGCTTCAAATTTATAAAGCAATATCATAAGAAACAGTTTGTATGTACTCAAGGGATTAAAATATTTATCCACATGTTATCCCCCAAAAAACACCTGTGCTCCTTAAGCTCTACAATCTGAACAATTTCAGATTTGGACTGCTTCATGGTGTGTCTACAATCTGAGAAGTCTTCCTCCTGAGCCAAGGAAGCTCCTAGTCAATTTGAATGCAGAGCACTAAAGAGCTCAAATGAATGGGCAGCAGAGAAAATAGGGTTTGGCAGGCAAGTGGAGCAGAAAAAAAAAATTGACACGATGTCAGTGCAAGAGGAAAATCACAATCTTGACAGGGAAGTCTCAACTTGGTGGCCAAGGAGCCTATTACTAGAGTTAGAAAACCAAGAATTGTGTCAAACAAAGAAAAACCAAACACCACCTCTCCCCCCTACAGAAAAAACCCCAAAAAAACCCACAGAGAGCAATGGCAGGAATACTACAGGCAGAGTAGCCCATATGCACTTCAGCACACTTCAAGTTAGAACACTACTGCCATTAAGCTTTCAACACTTACCAGCAAAGACTCTAATGCTGGTCTACAGGGAACAACAACCTATAGCAACCTAGTACTGTCGTGTGCTACTGCCATAGCTCAAGTAATATAGGCTGAAACAAGAGTTTAATTCACACATGAACCCCAGGTTACCAAATGAGTTCTCTGTCTGAAACTTCAATTTATAGCTTGCTTTAAAACAAAAGAAGCTACATAAAGAGATTTACTTTAACACCAACATTCAAGCTACAAGGATTTAATTATCAAAATTATAGATGTTAAGGGCAACACTAATTCAGTCTTTCCTGTACTTTCAGAAAAGCCAGGGGTTTCCTCATTCCTCTACAAGTGTTTTTACAATTCTAAGCATCAATAGACTATACTACCTTTTTAGAGTATTTCAGCAAGAAGTTTCTTGTGTGGTTTAATATATAGCTTTATTTTAATACGCTGCCTAATTTCTTTAAGCATTTCTTTGCAGCTCTCACACCTGAAGTACAAAGCAAGTGAACCACACTAAACAAGACAGACTGAATCCTGACACACAAGATCAAAACCGCCCATTAATTTCGTATTACAATTTATAAAGCTCATTTTTTTTTAGGATACACATCAACATAAAATAATTCATATTCACAACACAGTTTCCACTGAGTTCAGATGCAAAAGCAATTCTGGTAATCAGACCACAGTTAAGCACCACAAAATAAGGGAACAGTGACTAGTCTTAACTGAAATGTAAATATCTGAATTACCATTAAGATGGTCAACATCAGCATTGTATCTTAATTACTACTTGTAACTACTTAGCAAAAGCAGCATTCAAGTGCAATTCTTTAAGGTAGCATACTTAACACTGCAGATACCTGTCAGCATTCTGCAATAACTGAAACAGAGATTATGAAAACACGATAGGTCCTCCCTATATAGTTCCAATTTAACACTAAAGCAAGTCTCAAGAACTAACAGAGGCAGTGTCCTGTGAGAAAACCAGGTATACAAACATGCTTGAAGTTAAGAAAAAAAGAAAATTTAAAAAACTAATATATAGTTGGGGATTCAATTCAAAGCTGTAGAGGCAAACAGCTTTGGCATTTTCTAACCATTTATTATTTCATTTTAAGTTTTAAAAGTCAAAGTAGATTTTGGTGTAGCTTTCTACCCGTTTTACCGCGAGATTCTTATTTATCATCTTGAAACTTTTGTTCAATGCACATCTTTTATACACATTCTTCCTGAATGCAGGTGGTGCCATTCAGGGTCACTACACAAGTTTACAAGTTCTTTTGAAAAGACTGCAGGGCTGTTCAGACCAACAAGCTCAAGTCTGCTAACATTACACAACACTGCAAGAAGCTGCATGTAGAAAACATGACCAAAGAAGTTAAAAAAAAGGCTAGCTGAGCAGAGAGGATTAGCATGAAGTGTAGAAAGCTAAACTGCTCAAAGTTTGCTTTTGGTTGAAAAGGAAAACCAGAGGGGCTGTGGTTTGGTTTTGTTTATTGTATTGGCCCCTTGGGTTTGCTCAGTCTTCCCCAAGACTTTTCAGTCAGTTTTTGTTTTTAATATAATTTCATAGAACACATACAATTTAAAATGTACACATACCAGTATGGAAAGCTCTTTATGTTAATTTGTATTATTTGTGTTTCTACTTGCCTTTAATGAGAAGGAGAAGGGCAACTGCTTGTGAGTTCACCAGTAGGAAGACAAAGTTCCTAACTTACCCTCTACCATGATATGAGAGCAGTTCTATCACATTTCAATATAAATAAGCTTTAATATTTATCATGTCACATACACTTGTCCAATACTGCTTACAACTTATCCTAGACTCCAGAAATGTAATATCCAGCATCTAGTCATGTACAAAATCTAGATGTAACAGGAAGAAGTAACACAGGTAATACTTCTAAAGTTCATGCCTACTTCAGTTTAATCAGTAGAGGAAGATAAGTTTTTCAGCTTACAGAATGTTTGTTAAAAGGTGCTCTATATTGTTTTATTCTGTTTTTTTATTCTATGCTTCTATGCTGAATCACTGCACTTAATATCAAGAAATGCTGTCATTTGAATATGAGTCCCCAGCACTATCTACCCTCAAGAACACAAAAATCACGTTTGAAGTTCAAGATGCACGAATTAAAAATATAAACCTACACCCCAGAGATCAATCAAATAAGAAGTGGAGACCTAGTGACAACCTTGTAGTAAACTCAACCCCTCACATGCCTATTTCCAAATATAACACAACTCTTTTCAAAGAGGAAATAATGACACTTGCATCTGTTAATGAGTATGTGTTTGCATGCAGTTGCATTAAAATTAACTTGTTTAACACTTCTGACTGGAAACAGTTACAGGCTTAAAACGTCATGAGCATATCATTTTGTCATCAGACACTTGGAAAGATGCTTTATATTGAACCTTTTTATGCTCACTTCTGCCGTTTTACTAAGTTTTAAACAGAACCTGAAGACTCACAGTTTTATTCTACAACTGTCCAACTGCTGTATAAGACACCTAGCTTTAAGAAACAAAGTACAAATATTTTCCTTTGAACAGGAACATTTACATAAAAACAAGCCAAAACATTTGCAACATCTCCCTGCACCTACTTAACGCTGCTTTTAACCAAAATTTAGAAGAGAGAAGCCTAAGAAGCAAAACATGAAAAAGCAGAACTGAAAACATTTTATTGCATCAATAAGACCATTTCATTTTGCTACAAAAAAATGCTAAACTCAGTGCCTTAGATAAATTCTGAAATACAGAAAAATTTTTCATAAGAAGATTCCTGGAAAGATGTGGTATGAAACTAATACAAGGGTGAAGTATCCATGTGGAAAACCATAAAGTTCTTAGGATAAAAATTGCAATCATTCTAACTAGAAAGCAAGCAAGAAAAAAAACTACCACAGCAGAAAGTCTCCCTCACTCTTCTCAGGAAAAAAAGGAAAAAAACCCCCACAGCTGAAAAACCCAACACCCCTCCCCCATCACTTAAAGCCTAGATGGTTTTGAATATTAGTCAGGTTAAGCATGGTTAAAGGTACACACAGAACCTGAGTGATGCTTGGACACTCCCTTTCTCACCCTATCAAATGAGAAACAGATCTATTTTCAATCACTAATTACTAAGCCTACATGTTCTCAGCAAGAGCTGGAATGAATAGTTTATGGCTCATGTACTCACATAAGCAATGAAATTTGCAAATGCAAGTAAGCAATAAAATTCTTCGAAGACAGAACATATTTTGCCAAACCAAACAGCTGAAATGCTGTTCTCCTCTATTGTGCATCTATATCTCATTTGTGTTTGAAATCCGAGATGTACTTCACATGCATTTATGGGTTAGCACTACTGTTCTCCTCATGGCTGAGGCATTATACAGTTTATCTTCACATGCCCTACCGCTATATTAAAACCATACTTGAAAGATACCCAAGTAGAAAGAAGCAGTCTGTTCAGTCCATATCTTCAGTATGGAGTTGTTAATCAACATGTTATTATGCACCTTAATAAAACCAACAGCTGCAGGGATTACTTACACTTCTCTGATAAAAAAAATCAAAGTATTGGCTCAGAGTATTATAACTTACTGTGGATATTTAATGAAAAATATCACTAATGACTATTTCTGAAGAACAGAGAGATGTGTGCAGCAAAGGAGAAACAATGAAGAACAGCGTGATATCTCCAAGTTACAAACTTTTGCTAGAAAATAGTGCAGAAGAAAACAACACACAATTCAGGAAAGAAAGTAAAGCCCAGGAATTCAATTTTGTGGTTTCATTTATAAAAAAGAAAAAAAGTAAGTCTGAAACTAGCC